AGATAAAATACTTGTGGTGGGTGTTGCAGGGAGATGGTAAATGAAATTAAATATTCTCCGGTTTAATACACCTCGCTTTTTGGGGCATCAAATTCTGCAATTTTTTAACTTGATAAATATTGAGTTTGGCATCTGCCCCGACCCGCTTGGGCCTTGTCACACCCACGTTTTTGTTAACATTTTGTCTGTAAATCTACAGGTTGAAATTGTTAAGAGATTTTGTTCAAATGCTACATGATCAACCGTTTAATTTTAATTGTTGTACCTATTTATATTGGTCCATGTCGTACCCCCCCCCCCCCAGGGGCAGAGCGACGCCCAATTTTTATCCGCCCACATTATCATGTGGACGTATATTGTCGTCGCCCCTGTCCGTCCGTCCGTCCGTCCACAACTGTTTGTGAACAGTCTACAGGTCACAATTTTTATCCGATTTCATTGAAACTTGATATATAGGTTTATCACCCTAAGATCTCGGGTTCCTGTCGATATTGGCATATATCGGACTGTAACTTCATGGATTATGGCCCCTGATTGTCCGAAAAATCACGTTTTTAGCTTGTGAACACTGTAGAGGTCACAATTTTAATCAGATTTGGTTTAAACTTGAAATGTATGCTTATAACCCAAAGATCTCGGTTCCTTTCGATATTCCTGCATATCGGAACGTAACTTCCTGAATTAAGGCCCCTGATTGTACGACAAATCGCGTTTTTAGCTTGTGGACCCGATAGAGGTCATAATTTTTATCCGATTTAAAAAACCGTATTTTTATGTCACCGTTACACCCTAAGGACGACTGAGTTCGAATTTCGTGAAAATCGGCCCAAAACTGACAAACAAAATGGCCGCCGTTCGTTCTCTAATAGCGTAAAAATATGGTACATGTATATCAAGGTTGTGGACTCAATACAGGTCACAATTTTTATCCGATTTTGTTGAAACCTGAAATGTAAGTTTATAACCCAAAGATCTCGGGTCCTTTCGATATTTGCGCATATCGAATTGTAATTTCCTGAATTATGGCCCTTGATTGTAGGAAAAATCACTTTCGTTTTAGCTTGTTCTCTGTCCTTCCTCGAAAATGTGGACGTATCCTACCTGGCAGCCGCTGGTTGTGTTTATTGTCCACAAAACCGCAATTCTGAATGGATCATCTTTAAAATCGGCATATTTATACCGTAATGACGTTGATCTTGGTACATGTACCGACCCCATTGTTTGTGTTTATCGCCTACATGCAGAAATTCTGAACGGTTCCGTATTGAAAAATTGCATACTTATTCCTTATACCCTAAGGATGATCCCTCTTATCCATACCACGATCCCTAGGGACACAGCTACGCCCATGTTTTCAGTTTATCGTCCATAGGCCGCAATTCAGAATGGATCACAGGGCCGGCGAAAGCAATTCTTGATTGGGGGGGGGGGGGCTTCCATCCTACGTCCTTATAGGCGTGGGTCCCGGGCCGCAATAACCTGGAGAAAAGAGTACTTGCGGCCAAATCCCCCCCACCCCACCCACTCCGCCGGGCCTGGATCATCCTAGAACTAGGCATATTTATGCTTTATACCCGAAGGGCGGGATGCATACTTATTCCTTATACCCTAAGGATGATCCCTCTTATCCATACCACGATCCCTAGGGACACAGCTACGGCCATGTTTTCAGTTTATCGTCCATAGGCCGCAATTCAGAATGGATCACAGGGCCGGCGAAAGCAATTCTTGATTGGGGGGGGGGGGCTTCCATCCTACGTCCTTATAGGCGTGGGTCCCGGGCCGCAATAACCTGGAGAAAAGAGTACTTGCGGCCAAATCCCCCCCATCCCCCCCCCACTCCGCCGGGCCTGGATCATCCTAGAACTAGGCATATTTATGCTTTATACCCGAAGGGCGGGATGCATACTTATACCCTAAGGATGATCCCTCTTATCCATACCACGATCCCTAGGGACACAGCTACGCCCATGTTTTCAGTTTATCGTCCATAGGCCGCAATTCAGAATGGATCACAGGACCGGCGAAAGCAATTCTTGATTGGGGGGGGGGGCTTCCATCCTACGTCCTTATAGGCGTGGGTCCCGGGGCCGCAATAACCTGGAGAAAAGAACACTTGCGGCCAAATTATTGGGGGGGCTAAAGCCATCCCCCCCACTCCGCCGGGCCTGGATCATCCTAGAACTAGGCATATTTATGCTTTATACCCGAAGGGCTGGATGCCCGACCCCGAGGAGTGGCTCAAACCGATTTTTTGCTAATATTTTGTCTGTATATACTCCACATGTTGTAATTATTAACAGATTTTGCTCCAATTTGGCATGATCAATCATTTCAATAACTGAATTGCACTTCAACCACAGCGTAATCCGTCTTATTCTAGCAATGGATAAAACTGGCACACCCAACAGCTAACACTCTGTAATTGTTACATTATTTTATTTATCGTGGGCTTATTATTAAATATATACTTTGCACGACATTAGAAATTGTATTATATTTAAACACCTTGCGTTATAGTACTTGTATTGTATTTAAAACCCTTACCTTATCATAATTGTATTGTATTATAAGTTATAGTAGTGTATTTTATTACTGCCCTTGTTCTAGTGTTCATTTACCTTAAGTTTCAAACATCATCTGTGTTTCAAACCGTACCCAAGTGACAAACATTACCCAACAGTACAGCGGGAGGGAACTTTCTCATGTTGCTCGACGTTGTTATAACTTTTCCTCTGTTAACGGACCCGGTCATAATGAAATCTTCAAGTTACTCCATATATCCACGAGAAAAGATGGAAGAGCGTTTAGCTGAATATATAACATTTTTAAAAAGAACTTAAGTCATCCATACGTTTCTAATGTACACTTTATATACGACCAACCAGAGATCATCAGATATATTCAAACTCATGTAACAACCAACCAAAACAAGCTATTATTCCATAAAGTAAACGACTCAACATTATCAAGCACCGCTTACGAATTCGTATTTTCTAATTTGAACGGACGTCTGGTGATGGTCAATCAAGCCGACGTTTATACGGGACAAGGTTTGGATTTAATTACTAAAGATGTCATGGTTTCTAATAAGTTGATGATGTATGCTTTAACCCGACACAGTCGTGTGGAAAGGAAGTGTGATATGAGACCAGGAACCACCACCTGTTCTGATAAAAGATACCAAGGTTCCCACGATACATACATATTCGTACCACAAGGGAAATTACCCCAAGCAGCATGGGACGATTTGAACCATCTCTCCTTTGTTCCTGGAATCGATAATGTGCTTATATGGACTTTCGAGAATATTTTAAAATATAAAGTACTGAACCCATGTAAAGTGATAACAATGTTTCACTACCATTGTAGTGAAAACGAATAAATAACAGTAAGAATACTGGAATGTCTAAACCCACTGAGAACCTTAAGTGATATGTAAACACGGTGATAAGCTTAAAGGGCGTGTGACTCTATTTTTTGCAGCCTTAAAATAGACGAAACACACATACATATTGATGTAAAAATTAAAGTGATTTATATTCAATTGCTAATCAAGTTATGTTCGATGAAATACGTGAACAGTTCAAATAGAACAATTACGCCTGCTCAGTATATTTATAAAGTTTATTTTAATTATTATTTTGTCGTTTGTGAATCAGCCATTACTAATTACTTCCGCATTGTCTTTTAGGACATGTTTTTCTTTGTTCATTACAAATAGAACACATTTGTATACTGATTATATAATATTTCATTGTGTTGTAAATATTAGATATTAGGATCTCATATTCTCAAGGCAAGATAACAACATCAATATTGATTAAAATGGACCAATGTTCAATTGTAATTCGTGTTTTAATTTCAAATATTATGGGAAATATTGGCTTAGAGGTTCGTTCACATTTTTGTTCGATTTTGACGAAATTTGAAATGTAGGTTTATATCCCAACGATCTCAGTTCCGTTCGATAGTAGCATTTATCGGACCGTAACTTCATGGATTATGGTCTCTGATTGTACGTAAAATCACGTTTTTTATCCAGTTTTGATGAAACTTAATGCATATAACCCAAAGATATTGGTGCATATCGGACCGCAACGTCTTGGATTATGACTCCCGATTGTACTAAAAAAAATCATGTTTTAGTTTGTGGACCCTCTACAGGTCCCCAATGTTACCCAATTTTACAAATCGTTCATGTATTCTACCGTTACACCCTAATGAAGGTCGAGTTCGAATTTCGTGAAAATCGGACGAAACTGTCCGACAAAATGGCCGCTCGTCGTATGTAAGAGTATGTAATACCAAGGTTGTTGGCCCTTTAGGGCGTCACATTTTTTTTGTCCGATTTTGATGAAACTTAAAATATAAGTTTATAGTTTATCGCTAGGATCCCAGTCCCTTTTGATATTCGCGCATATCGAACCGTAACTTCCTGGTGTATGGCTTCTTATTGTACGAAAATTGGTTTTTGAACTTGTTCTATGAGAGCGTATATTGCATGACAAACGCTTGTTATATTCAAGCTTTAGAAACGGAAGTTGAAACAGTATTGTTATATTCAAGCTTTAGAAACGGAAGTTGAAACAGTATTGAGTTGTTTCCAGAAACATTAGTACCATAGGCGAAGGACCCCCCACCCCCCCCTCGATTCGGTGAACCGTCCATTTTTCGGGCAATGTATTTCCGTTTTTTGGGCACAACAGAGTTGTTTTTTGCTTAACATATTAATCCATATTGTTGTGTAAATGTGTAATTAGTGGAAAACTCGTTTTAGTTAATGATTGATCCAGTGACCTATTCCGAAAATTCGATTGGCAAAGAAAATTTTCGAGCAAATAGCCCAACTGAAACTGGTCCCCTATGCCTATGATTAATTAAAAAAAAACAACGTCATCCCAACCGTTATAAACATGAACTGTAATGCCATAGAGCTTGATCCAAAACCAAGGGCAGAACCAGTCCAGTTCAACCCAATTCAATTCAAAAACAAGGCATTGTGGGTTTATGTCTTTAATTATCGGAAACATAACGGTTTGGTTTTGTATAATATATAGAATTACATGTATGCACTCTATTTATTATCAATTGTGTATGTTTTTGCACATTTTATAAACATGTGTGTACCTATATACATACAAATCTGGATGACAACGCGCGACCATAATATGTAGACTGGAGTTGTCTCCCTCTAACCGCAATCATCAGGCGTTGCACGAGGATCGATTGTCGTGTATCGTTTACTTGACTTCAGTTCTATATTTAAACGTCTATCACAGGAACGTGTTAAATAATATATGTAATGAAATGGGATTTAACGTCCTACAGTTCTGCCTGCTCCTGGCTGGGCTAATGGAGACGGGTGATCTGCTTTGTCAGAGTCGAATCATATTTTAAATGTTAGTGATATCTTTCAGAAACAGCTACATTCATACAGGAAAATCTCGGCGTCATATTCACACCGTCCCGGACCAGGGCAGTTATTCCTACACCCCCAAACACAATCTTCATATCTGTCATAACATAACCAACACGCTCCTCGACTGGGTGATGTCATACCTGGAAAAATTAAATGAATAAAAAAATGAAATGGACGCTGCTAAACAATCTGTAGATGGCAGATAAAGAGACCTCTAGCAATTATCCAAAGTTTAACCTTCACATTCCTTTGTTGACAGCGGCGCAATGGTTTCTCTTATTTCAAATTTCTCTTAATTCAAATTCCCACTGTCAAGGGTTCTTTTACGTGTATGTCAATGTGTGCACTGGACCTCGATTTTCGTCCCGACCAAAGGAAATGTTTAGTGCAATGAAATAAGACCGGAGGCTCAGCGCGGGGGTACGTGTCCATCAAATGGGCACAAAACCAGACCCAACTTTTCTAGAGTAAAATTTTGCGTAGAATACGATGCCGAGTGGTAATCAGTCCGCCGTTGGGTCGTTTTCGAGATATTCGGGGTCAAAGGTCAAATGGGTTCATTTGCACTGAAAGTGAATGCGCGGTCATTCTTGTATTATGAAATGAAGCTGAAAATGATAGAAAGTAATCACACTTTCAATAAAAATGTAAACTTGCTAAATTCACCTTTAGTCTTAGTGACCCTGGAGGTCAAAAGGTGAAATTTACCGTTTTTGCACTAGGAAGATTTAAAGTAATAAAATGTCAGCGTAAAATATAAAAACTAAAGCGAAACCTGTTCTAATTAATAATAGGAACATTTCAAATTTATCTTTAGGTGGTCTTAGCACCGAACCTTTACTTTGGAACGTCGAAAATGATCTTGCATAACAGAACCAAAACACTTTGAAACCGGTTTCAAAGATACGTAAAAACGGTCAAATAGAAATCTCTCCGATTTATTTTCACAACGATTGTTAGTGTTGGACTCCAGCCTGCAGGCCGGTTGGATTTCCGAGAATCCCAGTCTAGGAAAACCGACGTTAATCTGTGACGGGAAAACACGTATCTGACGACGAGATTAAAAGTTTGCAAATTTTTTATAAGTTTTTATGAATTTCGCCGGAACATGGACGCAGATAAAACCGACGAATGCATTGTACATGGTAGTTCACAGGATATATATGTCGTATTGGTAAATGTTAGCGGGAAAAATTTTGGCAGGTTTTGTGACACTGCCTGCAGGCTGGAGTCCAGCCATGGAACTATTCAATTGTTTTTTTCAGACAACTAGTATCATTATGTATAGCATTCGTTGAAAAACTAATTCGGAGAGATTTTGATTTAACAGTTTTTACATATTTTTGAAACAGGCTCCGAAGCGTTTTGGTTCTGTTATGGAAGATCATTTTCGACGTTCCAAAGTAAAAGTTCGAACGTTGCAGTAAATAAACCTAGTGAATGTAATCCATAAAACTGACTGTTTATTATATATCGCTTTCTCTAAATGCCTTTCAAAGATAAGGTCCTACTCCTTTGCTCCACACGGGCTAGCAAAGACGGGCATACGTTCGTTCGTTCGTTACGTCTACTTCCACCAAGGGTGATATCGTAGACAAATGTTTCCTAAGAAACTTGCCAGAGGAAGCCACAAAATAGGCTATGTACTACGTCATGCATAGAGTATTACGGTGGGATTTTTTGCCCGAACAACGGCGCTATGGTCTATTCTTATTATGAGTTCCAGTCAGGTCAAGAAACGTTTTCGGATATCCAGTGTATTTACGCTGCAATATTATAGAATGATGTCCTCTGTAACGTCACTTACTGTCAACAAACGTTATTATGCTAACCTACCAGTTTTCAAACGAGGTGTTTTGATCTTTTTAACTATAATATGCCACGACTGGACGTGGTTGATTTTTATAAATTAATATCAACATTGTTAATTTAAAATGGAATCTTGTATAATTGAAGTAAATAATGACTTCATTAGTTTTTATAACAATACTTATACATCTTTTCTAATAATGTTTTAAAGATACATTATGCAAGAGCTAAATCTGCCTATTGCAGGTCTTTATTTAGGCTTCATATGTTATATAAATTATTAATTAGACATCTATTTACACGACAAGGTTAAAATCAACTCTTTTTTTATCATCTATTTTTCAATTATTATAGCAAGAATGGCTAACTCTTTATAAAACTCTTAACTAATGTATCTTTAAAATTACAGAAAATATATAACATAACATTTACAGTTATAACAATAATAAAACCTCTTTTTTAATAATGATTTGAATTTTACAAAAACAAAATATATTAGATATAAATTAAAACTAATATATATATAAAACTACAAATTACCTTTGTCAAAATAAACGATAGTCAGCACCAGGGAAACTATCAGAAAGATATTTAAAACTCGTCCCATTTTCCAAAACCCTTGGTTACAGCTTTCTGGGTCTTCTGTTTTCGGATTAACAAAAGATGAACTGGTGATGAATTGATTCAAATTTAAACTAGATTATATCAAGTTGAAATGATTAACTTCCACTTAAAGTCTTTAAACAGGTGCGCTTCCCGTATACTGCACTATTCCTGGAGTCGGTAACGTATAATCTATTCAAGTCTATGTGTACAGCAGGTATTTATATACCAGAGAGAATCATCTACACCTGTTGTTCATTATACCAGCCCCATAAACTGATATCATAATGCATGTTATTTACTGACCTGGTTCCCTCTAGACCATGACCTCTATTTGCTGACAAACAATGAATGGTTCAGAAAATGATATTAAAGTGACAGGTACATTGTACCACTTTTAACATTCCTTGCTATATAATTTAAATTATTCACTTTTTGGGGGCAGACGAAAATTGTTATTTTAGATCCATGGATTACACAGTTGTGATAGAACAGTCGATAAAACGTGATCAGATACGTGATAGAACTGTAGACAAAATGTAATCAGATGTGTGATAGAAGAGTCTACAGACAGATGGGATCAGATGCGTGATAGAACAGTCGATAAAACGTGATCAGATGTGATCATACACAAAACTATAATTAGTACCTCCTGGTTAGCGAGAAGGATAAATGGGTTTAACGTCCACTTGAAACAAACTAGGTCATTTAGGGACTAACATGCCTTTCCATTTTATGTCCATAATTTGCTTGCGCGTAGGTCTCTTTAGCAGTGGGAGAAACCGGAGGACCTGGAGAAAACTCACGAGGTTGGACAGGCAACCATACCGCGTGTCATGTACAAGCGGGGAGTCGAAAGCACGCCACTTGAATTAATGATAGTATTGATAGGCCTTATAGATTGAACGAGCACGCTTTAAATCATTCAGCCCTTCTCCCTCCTCCCCCCCCCCCTCCTAGTTAGCGAGATAGCGCCTAGATATTGAGCACTAACTCATGACTTGCTTCTATATATTTAGAAATAAAAAAAACACGTGTTGTTTCTTTAAGGTATGTGTTTAGTGCTGTAGAACCCGGGCTGATCCTTGGTTGACCGTGTTAAAACAATACAAATGACTGCCACACCCCTATATATATACATACATACAAATAGTGTATTACGTTCTAGAAATATGTGTTATGGTATTTCTACGTAGTAAAGTTTTATACTACGGAATAACAGACTTGTACCGAGAGCTGATCAAGTACAAGGTCTCCGCCTAAACTCGAAATGAAATGAAATGAAATGGGGTTTAACGTCCTACTGTTCTGCTCCTAAACTGGGCTAATAAAGACGGGCATACGCCACACAGTGTGCTACGGCCTACTCTTATATCGAATTCCAACTGCCATGGGATCTTTTACGTGCACGCCAATGTATACACGGGACCTCGGTTTTTCGTCCCATCCGAACGACTAGACAGCTGTCCTTGTCAGGCCCTCCGTCCTGCATCACTGACAAGGGGAAACCACACCGGAAAATCTGGATGAACTTTCTCGGCCAATGCAGTGATCGAACACCCGACCTCCAGGCTAGCGAACCAGCGTCTTACCCACGTGATTCCCCCCCCCCCCCCCGCGCCTAAACCCAGTATTTTCTATTGTTTTGGATTTATAATAATACAATATATTAAAACGCAAAAGTAAATTTACAAAAAAGGGATTTCCGAGTTATTTGACACCGATTGTTTTCGCAAGCCAAGATTGAGCATAACAAAGTATTTTATCAATCTGGTTAAAACACAGATTCTATTTCATTTTGTTTTTTATAGATCAAAAGTTCGATTTACTTATCTTTACTACACTAGGATCTGGAAAAGGTGTTATATAGCCGTGTTCTGGATGACTTGAGGGATTAACAAATGTATCGGTATGTTGCAACGATCGAGTTCTGTCGGTATCCCATTAGACAACTCAATGCTGCTTGGTTAATCAAATGTCTGACGTCATAGGGTCAAAAGTCGCTCGTATGACCCTTGACGCGACCTCTCACTACAACTGGTCAGATCCTCATGTAATAGAGGTCATTGAAGGTATAAAAAAAACGAAATATATATATCTATATTTTAATGAGACTGGTATTTTGCTGAAATTTGCTTCGCTATGAATTAGACCTAATTATTCAATTATTCTGTCTCTCTCATGGTCTGTGTTGGCGCTATTATATTATACCATCACCACCATGCCCCCTCATCCAGCCCGAAAAAAATAAATACCTCCACTAAACAAAACAATCAAAGCGTTCTCAGCTTTAAGGAATTAAATTTATTTGAGTTAATGTACATCAGTGATAAAATACAATAACAATATATTAGCGTTAATAAGTGATATGATACAAAAACTCTGAGATTTCTTTCGATATTCACTGAACAAATGGACATTATCTACAAATGATTGATTGGCCTTCTATTGTGTGACGACAAATTAGTATTTGAGTGAGTTTTTTTTATGATTGGGGTATAGAGTTTTTGGTGTAGGTTTTGACTGGGGTAAATCATTGTTGACGGAATATAGGGATTTTGACGGAGATACAGAGTTTGTGACGGGGATATAGAGTTTTTGACGGAGATATAGAGTTTGTGACGGGGATATAGAGTTTTTGACGGAGATATAGAGTTTGTGACGGGGATATAGAGATTTTGGTGACTAAAAGATCCGAGAGATCGTGATGATTAGAACTGGTTTCAAATGTTGCAGGCTATAGTTTTTATAATGCCTCGTTATGTGAAGGTCTTCTGGAGGTGACTATCAGTCATAACATCCGTTTCAAATGGTACAGGCTATAGTTTTTATAACGTCTCGTTACGTCTAGCTTTTATATGGAAGTGACAATCAGTCATAACATTCACAGTACCATCTAGATTGTCTAGAATAACAATAACCATCCCCATAACACTGGACATAGCACGACTGATCACATGTCTGTTCATCATAATAATAATCATATCTTCTTCCTGAAACTAGACAAAACAAACACATTAGCTAACACCTTAACTGAAAGCATTGATTTCTTTTGTAATTCTTAAAGATACATTATAATGGGAGATTAGATAAAGAGCTGGCAGTTCTCACTACAATAGTTAAAAACTAGATAATGTAAAGGGAATTTGCTGAAAACTTCAAATGGATCCACTCTGAACTTAGCATTTAGCGGTTGAATTTTCGATCATCATCACTAACATGGGTACGACAAAAACATAGTCTCGATTATCCAGTTCCATGATTAAATCATGAATGAAATTCGAGCAGCAATTCTGATCCTAATCCAGTAAATATCGCAGGTTAGCGATGATATCGAGAGTTGATTATGGTCTCGAAAAGTTGATTAATGTCTAATTAATAATTTAGATAACATTTCAGGCCTAAAAGACCTGCAATAGGCAGATTTAGCTCTTGCATAATGTATGTTTAAGTATGCTTGCCAATCGCTATAAGTGTAATGGTAGTGATGAGTGTCATACGTGCGACACAATATGCTCTTTCACCTTCCGGAATACCCAATTTCGTTGCATTTGATACACTTTGAAATTTGTTATCGTTAATTCTTCTATCTCGTATTTGTGTCGTTGCGGGTGGGGTTTGGGGCTTAAAAATCCGATGGTGACCCAGTACCGGATTAACCTTGTTGGGGGCCCGGGACATACCAACTGTGCGGGGGCCCCGTTGTTGTTTGTTCAAATTGTTCGTACTGACCGCGGATCGTACTAGTATGTACTCCGCCCCCTTGAGTACCTATGGGGTGTTTTCCTCCAGGTATTTTTTTTTATAATTAGGATTAATTTCAGTGCATCTGAGACAATTTAGGTAGCGAATTCCTGAAAATCTGTTGGTACCTACCAGTCCCCAGGCCCCCAATATCCCTTACTGCCCAGGGCCCCAATCCCCGCCCACTCAGCCCAGGTACTGGTTGGCTCCGTCTGGGATAAAATATTAATATGACCCAGAATTGTGGGGGGGCCCCTAAATGTGAGGGGGGGGGGCCGGGACATTTTTCCCACTTTGCCCCCCCCCCCCTAGATCCGGTACTGGGCCGACCTGGAAGTCTTCGGTTTCAGTCCATGCGTTGGCCGAGAAAGTTCATATGGATTTTCTGGCGTGGTTCCCTCTTGTCAGTGGCTTAGGACGGAGATCTGGCAACGTATAGTCGTTTGGATGGGACGAAAAAACGAAATTAAATGGAGCTTAACGTCATACATTTTTGTACCAACCGAGTGTATGCCATGCAGTGGTCTTTGAGGTTTTTTTTACGTGCACACCAACGGGTCCCATCAGAACGACACATGTCCAACCCGTATAGTTAGAAATAAATGGCTAATGAAGACGGGCATACACAATACAGTGTGCTATGAGGGAAATATATCGAATTCCAAAAGGGATCTTTTACATGCACGCCAATGTGTACACGGAACCTCGGTTGTTCGTTCCATCCGACCTTGTCAAACCTCCTGCCTGCACCACTGACAAGGAGGAACCATGACGGAAAATCCCGATGAATTTTCTCGGCCAACATCGGGAGCGAACTCGCGATCTCCAGCCCAGAGTCTAAGTGAGAGGGACGCAATGACGAGCTTTGCGTCATGTTTTTGATTTTTTGCGCCCCCTTGAGTTTTTACGCCCCCTCGCAAATGGCAAAAATCACGCGGTTTCAATGCGGTTTTCAAAACTAAATCATTATCATAACTTGCTCAACCAGTGTCAAACATATACCGTGGGTCAGTGCTGGAAATCGACTCTAGCATGTTCCACAAAGCCCAATATTACTCGGACTGGGAGGGACACTCCCCCTTCCCAACTCACACATACAAATATTGTTTTTTTGGATGTCCAGACGGAATCATGTTCCTCATGCAAAATCATGGATCACCACGCCCCTGCTCAAGTCTAGCGAGCCAGCGTCTTACTCACTTAGCCACCGTGGCTCCAGGAAATTAAAGAGAATAGTGTCAAGGCGTATAAAATAGAGAGAACACATAAAAGTCCGAAGATCCCCCATGACAGACAAAAATACAAATGGATACTTACCGTCACATGTGTAGATTAAAACCAGCAATAAAACCATTACTATTATAAATCGCTGCATTCTGATGGTTTATCTGTTTCTATAATATACTAAAGATATAACGCTAACGGTATATTTGTTCCTATAATTAATTATATTATATATATCGCTGACGGTTAAATGATGTAACCAATTGTATAAATAATTCTTCTAATTTATATCAAACAAACAGGATCTAACTATAAGTGACGTAATTAAAATAGCCCTGACCTTTGATTATCAGTACGTAGATAAACATTAAAACAATATCAAAAGGGTAGTGACATGTTTATGCCAGGATATAGATCATTTTGTTTTGATAAATGAAACAAATGTTTAAATGGGAATTAACATCCTGGTGCTCTGCTCCAACTGGGATAACGAAAAGAAACCTACGCCATACAGTGTGCTATGACTGCTCTTATATCGAATTCCAACTGCCAAGGGTTCTTTACGTTCACGCCGTATATGATTGGGGGGGGGGGGTGGAAATGAAACGATGGTTAATATGTCGCTTTAATATTACCTGGGTATCGGGACCGTCTTGAATTTTGTAAACCCCTGCGCTGCCAGTATTGAGAACAGTAGGACGTTAAACCCCATTTCATTTCATGACCTCTACATTGTTTATGACATTATTTCTAGCGGAGCTTAAAAAAAACACAAGCCACTGTAAACAGATATGAGATAAATAGACCAAACTAGTTATATGTCAAATCTAATACGCAATTAAACTGCGCAATAAATATCGTAAATATTATGACTTTCCCCGGGTGCATGGGGCGAACATTGTTAGAACTGATTCCCACAGGACTAAGAGGCAAAATGTTGCCGCGAGTAATTCCAGTGGTAATTCCTTTCCAATTTCGAATGGCGCGTATACGACAGGAAAAACATCGTCTCTGAATGGACGATGTTTTCTGGCCAGTCTTGTCCGTCCCTATTAAGCTGCAATATGAAAATATCGCTCTTACGGTAGTCTACCCACATCTCTGTTCAAAGTATATTTGGGAGTCCTTACCTTGAATTTTCACTGCGTAAATTCTTGTCAAACGTGTCGGTCGTTATGGGTCGACATTCCATATGTACGTCCGTTGTCGTCACCGCCATAGTGGTCTGTGGGTCTGTCAACAATATTATTCTTGTCGGCACTCTACTGCGGGCCAGGCTAATTTTATTTCCGTGCCAAATCCCCCCCCCCCCCCTCACACCCACACATACCAATAAAGAAATGAACTAAATTTGATTTTGCGCAAAATTTAATTTATATGCTGACACAGTAACAAGCGGTTGCCATGCAAGAAACGCCCACATTTTGAAAGATAAAAAATAAGTGGATAATAAATTGAAAGAGGTGTATAAGTCGTCCACAATCATTGGTAAAGTCGTCCACAAGGTATTAGTTACGTCGTCCACAACCAATGGTTATGTCCTCCAAGACTAATCGTTGACCACAGGCACTTGAAAGGATTAAAATAAAATTTCTTACTACTGCTTGACTATATATCAATAAAATCAAAGTTTATCACATGCCATGTAGTTTTTACTCGTTCAAGAAATTTCGTCCGCTATCAGCTCACAATACTCACTATATAGTTCTAACACCAACGAGACTTTATTTGATCATTATACACCTTCCAATGTAATTAAATTATTACAAATCAAACATGAAACGCTATATATATACTATTCAAAAAAAGTGGGTATGTTTGATTTTTAAGTGTTATTAAAGTCACCTAATGAAACTGACGAAGAAACAAATGACAAAATGAAATGAAGTTCACATTCATCAATTTATTCCAAATGATCGTTAGACTAAGTAAGGCACAGACTGACCATTATAAGGGTAAAATGATACCCGGGGTCAAACAGCAAAGTTACCACAGCATCACAACCAAGTCAGTAACGGGTAAATCCTCCTCTGTTTGCCAAACAAGCATTGATCCGACGTGGCATACTCCTAATGAGACGTCTAAGGTCATTTTGGTCCAGATTGTCCCATTCCTGTTGCAACGCAGCAGCAAGTTCTTGGACATTGGCAGGACGTTGTTGACGTTGACGTAACCTCTGTCCAAGCATGTCCCAGACATGCTCGATGGGGGAGAGGTCGGGACTCAGTGCTGGCCAAGGTAATGTGGTGATGTTCTGTTGTTGGAGGTAACCTGTAACGATCCTGGCCCTGTGACATCTTGCGTTGTCATCCTGGAAGATGAAACGGCGGCCATGACGTCGTGCGAACGGCACAACATGGACTGCCAAGATGTTGTCCCAGTAGTACTGGCCTGTAACACGCCCTGCAACAACATGTAAAGCCGTTCTTCCAGCAACAGTGATGCCTCCCCACACCATAACAGAACCACCCCCAAATCGATCATGTCTGATGACGTTAACGTCTTGGAAGCGCTCGTTTCGACGACGCCACACCCTCCTACGTCTGTCCAAAAAATCAACAGTGAGCCTTGACTCATCTGAAAACATCACATTGCTCCAGCGTCGATTATCCCAGTGTTGACGATCCCTACACCAACGACGTCTTGCCTGAATGTGATGATCTCTCAAACAAGGGATCACGCGAGGACGTCGGGCGCGAAGGTGACCCCTATGCAGTCGATTCCGAATCGTCTGGCCACTCACTCTCACACCAGTGTCTGTTTGAAGACGAGCGCTGATCTGATTTGCTGTGATGACACGATTTCTCAAGGCCAAGGTACGGATAAATCGATCCTGGGCTTGAGTTGTCGCCCTTGGTCGACCTGAGCGTGGTCTGTCCTGTACAGATTGTGTATCACGGTATCTGGACCATAGCCTGCTTATGACAGACTGAGAAACATTCATCGTCCGCGCCACAACCGCCTGTGTTGTGCCGATCTGTAGCATGCCAAGGGCACGTAACCTTTCATTTTGGGTAAGCCGACGCATATCAAAATTTGTTTTCTGGTCACTAAAACAATTAAACTGATGTTTCCACCCTGGAATTCAATGCCACAATGACTGTAACATTCAAAGTCAGAGTCGTGCAAATCTTGGGTTGGACCCCCATGATGATCCCAAGCATCACATGCATTCCATGCGGTAGCTATTGGTGCGTTACATGTAACTGGAAATGTTTCTTCTGTTAGGTTCTATAGTGACTTTTTTCGTAGTCATTTGCATATTTTAGTATTATGCCCCCAAAATCAAATATCCCCTACTTTTTTTGAATAGTATATATATATTAATTAGCAGTTATCAACTTCGTCGGATCGGAAGTAACACGAAATGAGGTCAGCGACATCGGGTTGGGGAAACCCTTATATCTAATTGATCGAGGCGTGTAACTAAAACTAAAATTGACTTTCATAGCTGACCGCGAATTAAAAATCTCAGAATGACAACAGACTCTTCTCATTGGTAGGGCCCTATGCATATTCATCTCTCAGGTAGACAGATAAAGTGATAAAAATTAATATAATATTTTTTACGAAAAATATTTTGCTTTTTAGTGTGACAAAATGCTCTATAACTTTCATCAAATTGAATGATTATTAGGCGCATAGAACTGATGTGTACAGACTGTTACTAACAAAAACAAAACGGAATTCCTTTGACCGCATTTCGTGTTCTCTTGGCTGATCTGCGCGAGCAAGTCACGTGACCCACATTAGTCAAAACTTAACCCATTTCTATGTGTAAACTTAGCCACAGTTAGTGAAAGTAAAATGCACGTTCAGTTATAGAGCCTGCTATATTATAAACACGATCTATATATACTCTTAACACGGTTTGGAATATGACGGACGAGAATTCAACTAAGGTAACTACTTTTCAAATTCATCGTTTCGGGACGGTCAATACTCAACAATGTCACTGTCAGTGCCAGTGTTGAATGGACCAATTTTGTTGTTTTATTTCTACTACTAGCCTACTACTACCACTACCTAGACCAGCGTAGTTAAACTCAGGTTTTGGCACACAGCAGACGCTTCTTCAACTAAATTGTTATTTTGTACTTGTAAAGTCTGAGTTATTGGGTGATATTTTCGAGTTATTTATTGAGTGTTATTGGATTGTCATTGGACTGTTATTTATTCGATAATTCGGTAATTCCACGCGCCCCTATATTAATGGCATTCACATTGGAATTGGCAATGCCAATAATAGCTGCAAATACACGCCGTCAAAACTTTATCTTACATCTACCCTAGGTTTTTTTTTATATATATATATATTTAAATACAGATCTTATTGGATTTAAATGCCCCGCCTCCTTATTTATACATCTTTCATCAACCAATCATATGAATATTCTGTCAGCAGAGGCCGTGGACGTAACCTGACCTGAGCCCTGGCCCACTGCCAAAACACTGACAACCAAATAAAGAAGGGTTGAATGGAAACAATGAGTGATATCAGAACAAAACATTAGTGTTAGAATTTGTGCAGTAAAAGTGTTAACCAAGATCCCTAGCAAAATAATTACACTTTGGAAAGAAATGAAATGAAATGAAATGGGGTTTAACATCCTACTGTTCTGCTTGAACTGGGCTAATAAAGATGGGCATACTCTTATATCGACTTCGAAGGGATCTTTTATGTGCATGCCAATGTGTACACTGGACCTCGATTTTTGTTCCCATCCAAACGACTAGACAGCTGTCCTTGTCAGGCCCTCCGTCCTGCATCACTGACAAGGGGGAACCACACACCTTTGAAAGAAAATACATGTATAATGTATTACATTCTGAAGTTGAAACCTAGCTGCAAATGGTCATTTTAATTAAGGGGGGGGGGGGGTAATCACAATTTTGAGTAAAACCCCTGTTTAAAATATGGAGAATATAGTACAAATAAAAAAAAAAAAAAATTATTGAAATTTTGTTCCCCTAGCCAATTCCCCCCCCCCCCATGCTCTCTGAAAATTTAACCCCCTAATTTAGCAAATTGTTTTCAATTTTGAGCTTGAATAACATCAAATAGTGCAGGCTTATCATGCATACGACTTTATATGACATAGGCCACGATAAGGTGTTGAACTAACATATGGTTTTGGGTAAATTGATTTTTTTTTCGAAACTGGGACAAATCCAGTGTAATTTTTGATATGGTTATACACAAAATATAATAAAGAGAAAATAAACACAACTTCATGATTAAAATAGTACAAATACTAGCATTTAGATTAGATATTGTGGGCATTTGTCAATAACTAAACCATACAATGGTCTTGAGAGTTGATTATTGGTTTGTCAGTCTAAATAATAATTTAGGGTGGTTGGATGGCTGAATGGTTAGTTCGTGCGCGCTGAATCATAAAGTCTATCATTGAGTCAACTGGCATGGTTTCAATTCCCTGGTTGTACATGACAATGAGTAGAGTTGCCTGTTCAACCTCGGGGGTTTTCTCTGGGTCCTCCAGTTTCCTAAAGACCCTACGCGCAAGCAAATTATTCAAATAAAATTGAACCATATGATAGTCCCGAAATGACATAGTTTGTGTCGAGTGGACGTTAAACCCCATTTCTCTCTCTTCCTCCCTCAGAAATCAATAGAATATCTTTTTAGCAATAACAGCAAGTTGAGGATGACAAATTAGGTGCATATTGAACTGCCTGACAATGGTTTTTTTTTTTCAAACTGATAAATTTATTTGATGAAATGTGGGTCTTCTAACTTTTCATTACCGGGTACTTCATATATATCAATATATCAGTGTCTTTTTGGTGTTAAAGATACATTATGGGAGATTAGATTAAGAGCTGGCAGTTCTCACTATAATAGTTAAAAACTAGATGATGTAAAGGGAATTTGCTGAGAATTTCAGTCAAATCCATCCACCCTGAACCGAGAATTCAGCGATTGAATATTAGGCCTAGCCTTGATCATCATTACTAAAGTCAGTAGAATAAAAAACATAGTCTTGATTATCCATTTTTTGATTTAATCAACAGTAGCATACAAGGTTCTAATCCAATAAATATCGCAGGCTAGTGATGCTATCGAGAGTTGATTATGGTCTGGATAAGTTAATTAATGTCTAATTAATAATTTAGATAACATTCGAGGCTAAAAGAAAGACCTGCAATTGGCAGATTTCGCTCTTGCATAATGTATGTTTAAGTTGCATTTAATTCCAGGTCATAGAAAATGGTTTGGCTGAAATTGGTTCAGAAGACAAAGACGAGAAAGTAAAAGTATTGATTAAAGATGAATTCTGTGATCCAGATAATCCAGTAGCTATTAAATTCCAAGACATCAGTGCTGCTGCTTATAAAATAAAAGGAGGAATACAAAAAACTCCATGCACAGTAAGTATCCCAAATATGTTAATAAGAGAGAGAGAGAAATGGGGTTTAATGTCCACTCGACAAAAACTAACATATGGTTCAATTTTATTTCCATAATTCGCTTACGCGTAGGGGTCTTTAGCAGTGGGGGGAAAACTGGAGGACCCGGAGAAAACCCACGAGGTTGGACATGCGACCCTACTCCTTGTCACGTACAACCGGGGAATCGAAACCCCACCAGTTGACTCAATGACAGACCGTATGATACAGCTCGTGCTAACCATTCAGCCATCCAACCCCACTCATTATGATATAAAGCACACGCACTAACCATTGAGCCATCCAACACCCCATGTAAATAAGCATTGATCTGTTTTGAAAAGGATGGTTTAATGTTTGTCAATGATATTACACAAACAATAACAACAGTCCGTTTGTCTGTCCATCTAAAATTGGCTTGTTGACATGATAGAGGCTGCAGTTTTCAACAGATATTTCTTACAAATTTGGGTCATAAGAAGACAAGGTACTAACCCTATCGACATTCATCAGTTGATGAGAGGAGGAAATCCCATTGATTTGAAGGGGGTTGGATGGATGGCCGTATGGTAAGCATGTGCACATTGTATCATAAGGCTTCCTCCCACTGCTAAAGACCCCTAAGCGCAAACAAATTATAGAATTAAAATAGAACCATATGTTAGTCCCAAAATGACCTAGTTTGTGTTGAGTGGACATTAAACTCTCTCTCTCGCTCTCTCTGCTAAATATGTATTTCCAATCCGCTAAATAGCAGGCTAGCGATGGCACCGAGAGTTGAATATGGTCTGAATAAGTTAATTAATGTCGAATTAATAATTTAGATATCATTTCAGGCCTAAAGAAATACCTGCAATAGGCAGATTTAGCTCTTGCATAATGTATGTTTAACGAGTAAATAATGTTTTATCTATAAATCCCAAAATGTTCCTTTTTATGATAGGGGAACCACGGTGGCTAGGTGGGTTAGACGCTGGCTAGCTAGCCTGGAGGTCGGGTGTTCGATCCCTGCATTGGCCGAGAAAGTTCATCGGGATTTTCCTACATGGTTTCCCCTTGTCAGTGGTGCAGAACGGAGGGCCTGGCAAGGACAGCTGTCTAGTCCTTCGGATGATACGAAAAACTGAGGTCCCGTATATACATTGGAATGCACGTAAAACATCCCTTGGCAGTGGGTAAACGATATCAGAGTAGGCGATAGTGCTGCTGCCCAGGCAAAATTCTCAGTAGCACACTGTATGGCGTATGCCTGTGTTCATTAGCCCAGTATAGGAGCAGAACAGTAGAACGTTAAACCCCATTTCATTTCATTTTTATGATAGATATCACAGATGTCCAATTTTGCAGAAATGACAATATACTTCAAAAAAGAATTTCTTCAATACACTGGAAGGTAAGTGAAAATTAAGGCCACTGTGGCCTAATCTTATATTGAATTCCAACTGCCAATGGATCTTTTACGTGCACACAAATGTATACAGGGGACCTCGTTTTTTTATCCCATCAGAATGACTAGACAGCTGTTCCTGTCAGGCCCTCCGTCCTGCACCATTGACAAGGGGAAACCACGCCGGAAAATCCTGATAAACTTTCTCTTCCATTGCAGAGATCAAACACATGACCTTCAGCTTAACGAGCCAGCGTCTTGCCCACTTAGTTAGTCACCATTGTTCCCTATCACAGAATGATGTGCTTGTTTAGAAAAGGTTCCCCTCATTTGACCTATGTTTATATATTTCAGTTTTAAAGAAAGAGGTGCTAGATATACATTATTGATGTTGTCAGAGGTACGTGTGACTTTATTTGCTTCTAAGTGTTTCACAATAAACGTCCTTGCTGATGGAATTCCCACCAGACGTTGCTAGTAATAACACGTTTCCATGTGACCTTATCGATGGTAAGAGGACCGTATTTCGACGTATCAGAATTAAATTCCATATGAACGTTTGTCAACACACCAGTTCATAACGAATGTACAGGAAAACAGTGCTGTAAGGTAAACAATGAGGTCACATGGGACCGCCCCCTCTATGGTGTCACCTAGAAATTATGCCCCTTTATCTTTAGCGAGGACACCCATTCATCTTTATGATCTTTGGTTGATGTTATGATGTATAACTAAAAGGGGGGTCACAGTGGCTAAGTGGGTAGAACGCTGGCTCGCTAGCCAGGAGGTCGGGTGTTCGATCCCGACATTGGCCGAGAAAGTCCATCTAGATTTTCCGGCGTGGTTTCCCCTTGTCAGTGATGCAGGACGGAGGGCCTGACAATGACAGCTGTCTAGTAGTTCAGTAAGGGATGGAAAACTGAGGTCCTGTGTACACATTGCCGTGCATGTAAAAGATCCCTTAACAGTTGGATTTCGATATAAGAGTAGGCCATCTTCCTTATCCTAGATCGGAGCAGAACAGTAGAATGTTAAACCCCATTTCATTTTGTATAACTAAAACTAGATTGTTTGAATTGCAATGGTCAAGGATTACCACAAAAACTGTACAGTATTATATTGGTTGAACTCACGGACAACATATTTAACAACACATCTGTAAATTAAAATCTATTTTATTAAAATAGCTCTTAGTCACATAATAAATTTAAATCTATTATATTAAGGCCACACAAAATAAATGTCTTGTTTCTCGGGCAACTGACAGCTGAAACTGTAGGGAGGGAGGGCGGTTTCTTTTTTTTTTTTACTCATTGATGGTGCAAAATAAAATTTGGCTATTGCTGAAAATTGTTGGGGCGGGAGGGCGGTCTTTCTTTTTTTTTTTTTTAAATGAGAAAGTCATTACTTGTTTACGTTTTTGCTTTCCGTTATATTCAACTTTATTGTACATATTTAAAACATAAACCCAAAATCAAGTCTACTAAAACACTGAGACTGAACACTGACTGAAAGGAAAATAATTTTCCATATTTAATTCACATAATTGAAATTGGTTTAAAATAAAATTCCATACGACTATGTAATAGCCCTCCATAAAGATGTAGGTACATGCGGGATATTTTTTTTACGACTTGCTTGTCGATGTGCAGGCGGGCGTTACATATTTATTTTTTTTCATCAAGACTAATAAATAGACTGCACGCGCAACCAATTTTGCGTGCGGGCGGTGCCCGAGAAACAAGTTATTTTATTTGTGTTGCCTAAAATAACATTGTTGTTTGAAAATGTTCCAAATTTTGCCAAAATCTGCCTTATTGCAAATGTAAACACAAATAGTATACTTTCCTCTGAATTATCATCTTGCCTATAGATGTAAGTATCTGAGGCACAATATTTCCACTGTGAGGGGTCCTATAGGCAAAAAACACAAACTTTATTTTTAGAGGCTCGCTCCCCATTTCCATTATTCGAATCCCTGGTTGTACGTGACAAGGAGTAGGGTCGCCTGTCCAACCTCGTGGGTTTTCTCCGGGTCCTCTGGTTTCCTCCCACTGCTAAAGACCCTGACGCGCAAGCGAATTATTGAAATAAAAAAATTAAACCATATGATAGTCCCGAAATGACTAAGTTTGTGTCGAGTGGACATTAAACTCCATTCGGCCATCCAACACCCCTGAAAGAATGATGAGCCTCCACTTAGTCCACTATATAAATCTGTACATGTATATTCGTACGAAATAAGGACAACTGCCAGGGTGCTGCTATGGTTGCGTCAAGTTATGTAAGTGTTACATGTTGCTAGCTTCATCCCAGACTTCTACGTATTACCAGGTCTTGGCAATAGAAACATTTCTGTCAAAATTTAGCACCTTTTTTTTTTTAGCTTAAATTGTACACTCCACATGGTGTTTTTACGCCCACATTTTCATGTGAACGTATATTGTCGTCGCCCCGGTCCATCTGTCCACAATGTGTTTGTGGACACCCTATACAGGTCACAGTTTTTATCAGATTTTAATTGCTTTTTTAACTGATTATCTGTCCATCCCGTATAAAATGTGCATCTTGTTTGGCAACCACTTGTTTTAAATAGCCCTCATCTATGTTTGTTTCAAAATTTCAGGAAAAAAAAAGATCAGGTGTAATTGCTGCCAGTGCTGGAAACCATGCCTTGGCATTGAGTTATCATGGAAAGTTATTAGATATACCTGTGACAGTAGTTATGCCAAGAGTAGCACCATTAATGAAAGTTAATGCATGTGTTCATTATGGTGCTAATGTTATAGTACATGGTGATGATATCGGGGAGGTAAAAAGATTTTTGTAGGCTCACATTTTAATTCCTTGATATGATCATATTTTTTATGCGATTTTGATGAAACTTAAAATGCATATTTATAAACCAAATATGTTCAAATATATCAACGTTACAACATAATGATGATAGAGTTCGAATTTTGTAAAAATCGGATAGAAACTGCTGGACAAAATGGCCGCTCCCTGTACGCAAATAGTATTTAAGTATGTAATGTCGAGGTTGTGGACACGCTAGAGGTCACAATTTTTATCTGATTATGATCAGGCGCCTGTAGCGTGGAAAATATTTCAGTAACATTAAGCTAGGACTAAGTATAATTTGTAAAGTCTGAATGTCCATGTTCACAAGGGGGATCACATGGCTAAGTGGGTAAGACGCTGGCTCGCTAGCCTGGCGGTCGGGTGTTCGATCCTTGCATTAGCCGAGAAAGTTCATCCAGATTTTCCGGCATTGTTCCCCATTGTCAGTGATGCAGGACGGAGGGCCTGACAAGGACGTCTGTCTAGTCCTTCAGATGATAAGAAAAACCGAGGTCCTGTGTATACATTGGAATGCACGTAAAAGATCCCTTGGCAATTAGAATTCGATGTAAGAGTAGGCGATAGTGCCGCTGCCCAGGCAAAATTTCCCTCATAGCACACTGTATGGCGTATGCCCGTCTTCATTAGCCCAGTATAGGAGCAGAACAGTAGGACGTTAAACCCCATTTCATTTCATTTCCATGTTCATAAGCGAGATTATCAAATAACTGGTCTGATTCCGATTTCTAACTCAGGGGCAAATAACTTGTCTGAAACCAATTCTCTTTCAGTAGATATAATAATACCAAGGTGAGAAACGGATTAGAATAAAACAATTGGGATCAAAGTTCACTACCCTAGATTCCATCAACCAGTGGCAATACTCACTAATTTTCGCTAGGCAGACAATCAAGTCTGTGATGACGTTTTAAAATGATCAAAATCACCCGCTTTAAACGTCATTGTAGACTTGATTGTCTATTCTTGATCATGCCATGCTGCGAGTGTGGTAAGCAAGCATCCCTATTATTCAAATTCAATGTTACTTCTTGTTTTTTCAGTCCAAAGATCATGCCATGAAACTGTCAGATGAACAAAATCTGACATATATTAATGGGTAATTATTTTAATAAGTTAACAGAAATCTACTTGTAAAACAGAGTACAGAGTGATGTAAGATTGTGTTTTTCTTATTGAAAGGAACTTGTGCATAATTTAGCCACAATCATACCTGGAAATAACGGGTCGGACACCAATCTGGTTAAAACACAGATCCTATTTCGTTTCAATTTTATAGTTCAAAATTTCGTTTTACTTGTCTTTACTACACTTGGATCTGGAAGAGTTGTTATTTAACTCGTGTTCTGAATGGTGTCAACGATAAGCCAATGAAACGGTCTGTTACGGCAAGTTTTAGGCATGTTTTTCACGGAACTGTGGGTAATCCACTAGTAACATCAATGCTGATTGGTTAATCAAATGTCTGACGTCATAGGGTAATAAGTCGGTCTTTTGACCCCTGACCTGACCTATCGCTATAACTTGTCAGATCTTCATGTAGTGTAGGCCATCGAAAGTATAAAGAAATGAAACGAAATATAGATCTGTATTTTAATCAGATTGGTCAGACACAAACAAAGTCTGATCGATTACGCAACTTTTCACTGTCCAGGTGAAAATTTATCGGTGTGGATCCAATCAATCACCGTGCTTTTCCCAACCAACAGTGACATGTATCCACCTCAAGTATCATGACATTCAAGTCATTTTAATGGGTTGTATTTTTATATCCATGTTAAATCAAAACCAGCTTCCTCGAACAAACGAAAACTAAGCAAATCTAACCTTGTTGATAAGTGGATCGCAAAAGATATTTTGCTGTTTGTTTTCAATCTGAATCGTTATACAAAAGTTGTCACAACAACAACCCATCCACCCATTTGTCAATATTTTAGACATTGATAGACTTAAACTGCTTCAATAGCATTTAGTAATTGACCTGAAGTATACAGGTCACAGTTCTCTGGAATACAATTACTGCTTGTAATAAGCCGTACCGGTAATTGTATTCCATAGAATTGTGACCTGTATGTTGATATACTTTGTGCCAAATGTCAGAACATTAGGAAATGAAATGAAATGGGGTTTAACGTCCTACTGTTCTGCTCCTATACTGAAAGCTTTGTGTGATAAAACATTCATCAAAATTTTTGTCATGGGTGACGCCGTTGGTATTTTGGGAACTTGAAGGCAGTTCCAATGGCGGACTACATCATACAGCCGAGGCTAGATGTAGGGTACTGGAGCCTGGTCAGGTTTGCCGAGTGCACCAATGCTACAAGAAACGAAGCGCCAGGAGTAGCATGCAAGGCATACAAAATCTAAGTAAGGTTTATGATTTATTTTAATTAAGATATGATCATCCACACATATTAGCTGGTCAGGGTACAATGGGTCTGGAAATTGTGGACCAGGTTCCAGATTTAGATGCTTGTTTAATACCTGTTGGAGGAGGAGGTCTAATTGCTGGCACAGCTTTAGCTATAAAAAGTTTATACCCCAATGTTAGAATTATAGTAAGTATATTATTTAGCTTATTTTATATAACTAGCGGACCCACGGTGGCTAAGTGAGTAAGACGCTGACGTGTTCAGAATTGTTCAGAATTGTCCGGCGTGGTTTCCCCTTGTCAGTGGTGCAGACGGAGGGACCGACAAGGACAGCTGTCTAGTCATTCGGATGGGACAAGAAACAGGTCTTGTGTAGGCCTACACATTGCCATGCACGTAAAAGATCCCTTGACAGTTGGATTTTGATATAAGAGTAGGCCGTAGCTCCGCTGTCCGGGCACAAGTTCCCCCATAGCACACTGTATGGCGTATGCCCGTCTTCATTAGCCCTGTTGGAGCAGAACAGTAGGACATTAAACCCCATTTCATTTCCTTTGTATATTTGGCCTTTTAAATGTCTACATTATAAAGTGGTCATATATTGTCCATTGCCATTCAATAGTGCTTTAGAGAGTAACATTTACATAGGAAGTTCCCAGGAAGACAGAATTTCCCAAAAAAATGTGCCACCTGAAGAAATCTTGGTGTTGATTAATTAACAAATATAGTTTGTTGACTAAGTTGACTCCTTTATAAATTATGCAGGACGGAGGGCCTGGCAAGGACAGCTGTCCAGTCATTCGGATGGGAGGGAAAACCGAGGTCCCGTGTACACATTGGCGTACACATTGGCATACACATAAAAAAAATAAAATTTCCCTCATAGCACACTGTATGGCGTATGCCCGTCTTCATTAGCCCTGTTGGAGCAGAACAGTAGGACGTTAAACTCCATTTCATTTCACTTCATTCATTTCCCTTTATAAATTCCTAGTAGTTGATATCTGTTTCATGGTGTCTGTCATCCTATTTATATAGTTGTTTTTTTTTTTAAAATATGTCATTAAAAGTTTGATATATGATTAAGATAATTTTAGGGTGTTGAATCAGAGAGGTGTGCCAGTTTTTCATCTGCTTTAAAGGAGGGTAAACCAGTATATACCAAAGCTTCGTCATCATTAGCAGATGGTAAGTTTATTGATAAACCTTGAGAACGTTAATACTGTCAGTTTTAAAACGATATGAAAGAGTTCATTTCATATACAGGTAACAATTCTATAGAATACAATTACTGCTTATTACTGAGTGACGTTTCGACTAGGTTTCTCTAGTCATTATCAAGCAAGGATGATAAGTGGAAGCCATGTTTGAATTTGTTTCGCGTAGCACTAGTGTTGTCTGGAAACTCTACCTTGTAATTTTATCCACAGTTGGATGAAAATGAAGCGGTTGTTATCTCCCTTAACACTTTATTTGATGTTAGAAGTTGGGAAAATAGTAAAACTAGTGTTAAATTACATCATAACTATTTACTCCAACACTATATTTCACCTCACCCATAGTAGCCGTAAGTCATGTTTACATTAAAAAAATTTAGCGTGCCAGTAATGGGTCTGAGAATGGAATGGTTATTTTTTATACGCCCTCATTTTCATGTGGACAAATATTGTTGTCGCCCCTGTCTGTCCTTCCATAATTTGTTTTTGGACACTCTATAGGTCACAATTTTTATACGCCCACATTGAAATGTGGTCGTATATTGTCGTCGCCCCCGTCCGTCCGTCCGTCCGTCCGTCTGGCGGACCGGCGTCCACAATTGCTTGTGGACGCTCTAGAGGCTAAAGTTAATATCCAATTGACTTTAAATTTATATACAGTGTTTAAGGCCATGAAACGAATAAGGCTATTGATTTTTAGCGATTTCCGATAATTACTGCCAGAGTTATGGCCCTTGATCACTTCAAAAAATCTTGTCGACGCTCTAGAGGCTAAAGTTAATATCCGATTGACTTGAAATTTATACAAAGTGTTTAAGGTCATGAAGCCTATTGATTTTCAGCGATTTCTGATAATTACTGCCAGAGTTATGGCCCTTGATCACTTCAAAAAATCTTGTGGACGCTCTAGAGGTCAAAGTTAATATCCAATTGACGTTAAATTTATACACAGTGTTTAACTTCATGAGACGAAGAAGCCTATTGATTTTCAGCGATTTCCAATAATTACTGCCAGAGTTATGGCCCTTGATCACTTCAAAAAATCTTGTGGACGCTCTAAAGGCCAAAGTTAATATCCGATTGACTTTAAATTTATATACAGTGTTTAAGGTCATGAGATGAAGAAGCCTATTGATTTTCAGCGATTTCCGATAATTACTGCCAGAGTTATGGCCCTTGATCACTTCAAAAAATTTATACACAGTGTTTAAGGTCATGAGATGAAGAAGCCTATTGATTTTCAGCGATTTCCGATAATTACTGCCAGAGTTATGGCCCTTGATCACTTCAAAAAATCTTCTGGACGCTCTACAGGCCAAGTTAATATCCGATTGACTTCAAATTTATACACAGTGTTTAAGGTCATGAGACGAAGCAGTCTATTGATTTTCAGCGATTTCCGATAATTACTGCCAGAGTTATGGCCCTTGATCACTTTAAAAAATATTGTGGACGCTCTACAGGTCAAAGTTAATATCCGATTGACTTTAAATTTATATACAGTGTTTAAGGTCATGAGACGATGAAGCCTATTGATTTTCAACGATTTCAGATAATTACTGCCAGAGTTATGGCCCTTGATCACTTCAAAAAATCTTGTGGACGCTCTAGAGGCTAAAGTTAATATCTGATTGACTTTAAATTTATACAGTGTTCAAGGTCATGAGACAAAGAAGTCTATTCATTTTCAGCGATTTTCGATAATTACTGCCAGAGTTATGGCCCTTGATCACTTTAAAAAATATTGTGGACACTCTACAGGTCAAAGTTAATATCCGATTGACTTTAAATTTATACACAGTGTTTAAGGTCATGAGACAATGACGCCTATTGATTTTCAACGATTTTAGATAATTACTGTCACAGTTATGGCCCTTGATCACTTTGAAAAATCTTGTGACGCTCTAGAGTCTAAAGTTATCATCCGATTGACTTCAGATTGATACACAGAGTTTAAGAGCTTGAGACGAACAAGTATATTGATTTTCAATGAATTTTTATGTCTTGAACAGCTAAATCCATGATATTAAAAACCAAACAAATTCTAATGGGTTTTCTGATAATTACTTCATGAGTGTATTATAAATGTTTCATTACCGAAAGAAGTAAAAATATGCGACAACACTTGTTGACTGCCCGGACGATTTAGCGTATGTTTCGTTTCCTGGCAACCTATCTTTATCCAATTTTGACAGATATTGGTTTATTTCCCGAAGATCTGGAATATGGCCCTTGATTGTATGAAAAATCATGTTTTTAGCTTGTGGACACTTTAGAGGTCACGATTTTTATCAGATTTTGATGAAACTTAAAATAATTGTTTATAACCCAATAATCTTGGTTCCTTTCGATATCCGGGCATATTGGACCTTAACTTAATCGATTATGGCCCCTAATTGAATGAAAAATCGTGTTTTTAGCATGTAGTCCTGCTAGAGGTCAACATTTTTATATAATTTAACAAAACGTTTGAATATATCACTGTTACACAGTAATGATGGTTGTGTTTGAATTTCATAAAAATCGGACTGAAACTGATGGACAATGTGGCCACTCCCTGTATGTAAATACTGTAAAAGTATGTAATATCAAGGTTGTGAATGTGGACCCTCTAGAAGTCACAATTTTTATCCGATTTTGATGAAACTTAAAAAATTGTGTTAACCCATAACTGGTCATTGTCGACTATACAGCTAAGTGGTCACAGTTAACTAAAGTCGACCACAGCAAGAACCTTTTTTATAAGCCGCATTTGAGTATTTAGTTTTGTATTTAATTGATATGGCCATGTATGCATGTCAGACAGGAACTTGTCTTGTCAAGGGCATTGAGAAGAACATGTCTTTGTTCAACATTTTTTGAAGAAAAACGTAATTTAACGATGTCGGGAACGTTAAAGACGCTTGAAGTGGTTGAAATACTTATGAATTATTCCGACTCAGATTTAGAATGATTTGCAAATTATAGATCAACTTATCCCCTTCAACTTTTTTATTGGTGTCAAGAGTCTGTCACTTATAATTATTCGGCATAGTCGATTGAAATAGGCATACAAAATATTTCACATCAGCCTTTATTTAGCCTGACCACTTGACGTCATGACGTCAAAATGTCGTCGACCAGTTAAGGGTTAATATCACAAAGATCTTGATTCCTTTCAATATAACAGACCGTAACTTCCGGGATTATGGCCCCTGATTGACGAAAAAATTGCAATTTTAGCTTGTGGATCCTCCAGAGGTCACAATTTTTATTATCCTATTTTAAAAATTATTTAAATATTTCCCCGTTACACCCTGATGATGATCGAGTTCAATTTTTGTAACAATCAGAACGAAACTGCCCGACAGAATGGCTGCTACTTGAACGCAAATAGTGTAAATGTATGTAATACCAAGGTTGTGGACCCACTAGATGTAGAGGTTACAATTTTTGTCCGATTTTGATGAAACTTAAAATATATGTTTATATCCCAAAGATTTAAGTTCCTAATATCAGATCATAAATTCTTGGATTATGGCCTCTGATTTTATGAAAAGTCACATTTTTAGCTTGTGGATCTTCAAGAGGTCACAATGTTTATCCGATTTAAAAAAAAAGGTTAAATATAGCACTGAGTTTAAATTTCAGGAATATCGAAACGAAATGGCCGCCCTGTGTACGCAATTGTGTAAAAGTATTATGGCCCCTGATTGTACGAAAAATTATATGGTTTTTTTTAGCTTGTTCTCTATCCATTTCTTGCAAAATGTGGGTGTATCTTGCCTGGCAACCACTCGTTTGTAGTGTAAACAGGTCAAACATAAGCGTTCCGTACTGAGAACCGTTCCAATATGGACGTCTGAAGTGATGTGGTCTCGAACGGTTCTCAGTACAGCATGTTAAACGCTATCTTGATTATTGCACTGCGCAAATGAACTTTGACCTTTCTTTACCTTTGGTAGCGTAAAATCATCAAGTAAGTTAATGAGACTGCTACAAGTCGCTTAAATGAAATGAAATGAAATGAAATAGGGTTTAACGTCCTACTGTTCTGCTCCAACTGGGCTAATGAAATCGGTTGGTAATCAAAGGCTCAGAGCAACATTTAAAATGTTGGAACAGGAAAATGAAATGAAATGAAATGAAATGGGGTTTAACGTCCTACTGTTCTGCTCCGACTTGACTAATGAAGACGGGCATACACTATACAGTGTGCTTTGAGGGAACTTTTGCCCAGGCAGCGGCACTATGGCCTACTATTATTTCGAATTCCAACTGCCAATTGATCTTTGATGTTAAAGGACAATATTGGTGACAGTCATTATCACATATGTGATAGAACTGGTTAAACACTTTCCAAATATTATTTTATCACAGAGATCATTGCTAAAATGGATGAGTAATCAATGTTTCAACAATAGGAAGTGACGAACGCAAAAAGAAAACATGAGTTATCCCTTTATATAACTGAATGAAGTGATGGGTGATAACAGATACATGGGCGAATTGCTGCTCACTGTGAAAGGATATCTGATTATCTAGACCATAATCAACTCTTGATGTCATTGCTAGCCTGCGATGTATATCGGATTAGGTTTTGATTTGCTGTTCAACGTCTGTTGATGATTAAACGGAAAAATGGATAATCGAGACTTTGTTAATTATCGTGACAGCAGTAACAATGAAAATTGAGACTACAGTGATTTTAAAATAAAGATTTCTCGGCTTAGAGTGAGGCAATTTGACTGAAATTTTCAGCATATTCCCTTTACACCATCTAGTTTTTATCCGCCCACATTGAAATGTGGTCGTATATATTGTTGTCACCCCATCCGTCCGTCGGTCGCTATAGAGGCTTAAGTTAAAATCCGATTAACTTTAAATTTATACACAGTGTTTAAGGTCATGAGACGAAGAAGCCTATTGATTTTCAGCGATTTCCGATAATTACTGCCAGAGTTATGGCCCTTGATCAAGTCAAAAAATCGTGTGGACGCTCTTGAGGCCAAAGTTAATATCCGATTGACTTTAAATTTATACACAGTGTTTAAGGTCATAAGACAAAGAAGCCTATTAATTTTCAGCGATTTCAGATAATTACTGCCAGAGTTATGCTCACTTCAAAAAAATTGTGGACACTCTAGAGGCCAAAGTTAATATCCGATTGACTTTAAATTGATACAAAGTGTTTAAGATCATGAGAGGAAGATTTCTGATAATTACTGCCAAAGCCTTAGGTATGACCCTTGATCACTTTGAAAAATCTTGGGACACTCTAGACGCTAAAGTTATCATCCAATTGACTTCAGATTGATACACAGAGTTTAAGGTCTTGAGACGAACAAGTATATTGATTTTCAATGAATTTTGATAACTTAAACAGCTAAATCCATGACATTAAATGTTTCGTATACTAAACGTTAGCATGGTGCAGAACTTTATTAAAACCAAACAAATTCTAATGATTTTCTGATAATTTCTTAATAAGTTGTTGCTCTTAATCAGATTTTAGTGGATTATAAATGTTTCATTACCGAAAAAAGTAAAAATATGCCGCTGTGGGCGTATGTTTCGTTGCCTGGCAACCTATCTTTTAACTATTATAGTGAGAACTACCAGCACTTTATCCAATCTCCCATAATGTCCCTTTAAGCTAATTCTAAATAATTTTATGTTTTAGGTTTAGCTGTGCCAACTGTAGGTGTGAATGCTTTTATTACAGCTAAACCATTAATAGATAAAATGGTGGTTGTCAAGTAAGTTCTTAGTTTGTCTTCCTTATTCTAGTTTTAGCAATGGTAAAAGATATATGATAATGTTAAACGTCCTACTGGGCTAATGAAGATGGGCATATGCAAATATTTTTGCTAAGCCCAAGACTTTAAAACGCTCCTTTTAATTGAGGTAGAATGTTCAAACTTAGTGTAGATGTTCATTTAGTGATGATTAACATTTTCCGCTTAGGTTAAGCAGAGATAACTTTCATTGTAATTGAATAAGAGTGATGAAACCTTGACTAAATTGAATCATGAGCATTTTCTGCACAGGTTAAGAAATTTGATTGGTTGAGATTTTGGAACATGAAAATTTTCATTCTATTTGGGTGAGAATGATGAGACTTTTGTATAGTTTCGTTATATATCAATACCTTGACTATTGTTAGAATATTCAATCTGATTCAAACACAGATCCTATTTCATTTCGTTTTTTAAAGTTCAAAATTTTACTAGTCTTTACTACACTAGGATCGGGAAGAGTTGTTATATAACCCGTGTTCTGGTTGATGTAAAGGATTAGCCAATGAAACGGTCTGTTGCAGCGATTTCTTGGCATTCTGTGCACGGAACTGTGGGTATTGAACAGAAATTTAAATGTTGATTGGTTAGCGTAATTAAAAGTCTGGCGTGATAGGGTCAAAAGCCCTGACACGACCTCACATTACAAGTAGTCAGATCTTCATGCAGTGGAGGCCATCGAAAGTATAGAAAACGAAAAGAAATATAAATCTGGAATTTAATCAGATTGTAGAATATTGAAAGACCAGCTTCTTCAACTGGCATGGTTTCAATTCCCTGGTTGTACGTGACAAGGAGTAGGGTCGTCTGTCCAACCTGGTGGGTTTTCTCTGGGTCCTCCAGTTTCCTACCACTGCTACACACAAGTGAATTATTGAAATAAAAAATTGAACCATATGTTAGTCCCGGAATGACCTAGTTTGTGTCGAGTGGATGTTAAACCCCATGTCTCTCTCTGTTTTAATATAATAATTGTTGTATATCAGGGAGGAATATATAGCTTTAGCTATATTACGTCTTATAGAGTTAGAGAAGGCTGTAGTTGAAGGGGCAGGGGCTACTGCATTGGCAGCCATCTTACAAAATCAAGTACCAGAATTGGTGGGTAAAAAGTAAGTTGTATTTTGGTAAAATCAATCTTATCCATCTAGGTTAAAATTTAACTAAAGCTAATTTTCAATGATTTGACAAAAATCTTTTTGCTTAAATTACCAGAAGTTTATTTGAGCTGAATCAAATATGTACTTAACCCGAAGGCAGCAGTGTTTATTTATTAATTTAAAAAAAATTACAGTAGTTATTAGGGATTTGTATTGCAGCCAAAAACCATCTAGCAACTATTTAAACATGCATTATGCAAGAGCTAAATCTGTCTATTGCAGGTCTTTCTTCAGGCCTGAAATGTTATCTAAATTATTAATTAGACATTAATTAACCTATCCAGACTATATTCAACTCTAGATGGCATCACTAGCCTGCGATGTTTAGTGGATTGTGAGCCGATTTACTGCATAACTTTCCTTCACAATTTAACGATTAAATGGATAATCGAGACTATGCTGTTTATCGTACTGACATTAGTAATGATGATCAAGACTAGGCGGAAATTCAATCGCTTTGTTCTCGGTTCATAGTGGATCAATTTGAATGAAACTTTCAGCAAATTGCCTTTACATTATCTAGTTTTTAACTATTATAGTGAGAATTGCCAACTCGTTATCAAATCTCCCATAATGTATCTTTAATTTAATATAAATTTATACACAGTCTTTAAGCTTGAGAGATAAACAAATTCTAACGATTTCTGATAATTATACAATGGGTTAATTTGTTACTCATAATCAGATTTTAATGTGTTGTAAATATTGTTTCCTTTACTTACAAAAGAAAAAATTTGTGACAACCCTTGAAAAAGATAAATGTGAAATTAATTAATATGTGTCATCTATTTATTTTGGTATTTCTGCGGGGGAACATCAGCCTCACCATTAGCTTGTATTTAATGTATATTAGTGTAGAAGTAATAGACCAGACTATATGTTAATTGTATGTTATAGAGTAGTGATACCATTATGTGGTGGTAATATAGATACGACAGCTTTAGGTCGAGTTATAGAAAGAGGTTTAGCTGCTGATGGTAGATTAGTAAGATTTGTTGTAACAGTAACAGATAGACCGGGTGGTATAGCTGATTTAACCAGATTAATAGCAAATTTAGGGGTCAGGTACAGTACATTTATTTATTAACAACTAGCTTAGCACTTTAACTGCTATATAAAAGGGGGGATGGGTGGCCGTATGGTTTGAGCGGGCACGTTGTATCATAAGCTCTGTCATTGCGTCAACTGCCGTGGTTTCGCCTGTCCAACCTCGTGGGTTTTCTACGGGTCCTCCCCTATGTGCAAGCGAATTATTGAAATAAAATTAAACCATAGTCCCAAAATGACCTTGTTTGTGTCCAGTGGGTGTTAAAACCCATTTCTTTCTTTGCCCGAACAACAGAATTATTTTTGCCTACTCTTCTTCAAATTCAAATTTTCATATGTTATATTGCATGGGGGGAGGGTTGGATGGCCAAATGGTTACCGTGTGCGCATTGCATCATAAAGTCTGTCATTGAGTCAACTGGCGTGGTTTCAATTCCCCGGTTGTCTGTGACAAGGATTAGGGTCGCCTATCCAACCTCGTGGGGTTTCAACGGGTCCTCCAGTTTCTGTCCACTGCTAAAGATCCCAATGCGCAAGCGAATTATTGAAATAAAATTGAATCATGTGTTAGTCCCAAAACGACCTAGTTTATGTTAAGTGGACGTTAAACCCCATTTCCCTCCCTCTCTCTCTATTCCATGCATTTCAAATGTGTATACTAATAGAGGCATGTATATAATGTACTTACAGTATTAAAGATATATTTCATGAACGAGCATGGTTAAAGTCAGATGTATTTGCTGTACAGGTATTGTAGTATTTATTATACTATATCTAAACTACCGGCAAAAATAATGTTGCAATGAGTTTACACATGATCAGAAAACATTTGACAAAATATACCTGGTGTACACTTCGCAGTCAGGATATGCTGAATTTCATGTATAATTACCTACGAATGTCCAAAATGAACAATGACCTTTTTCACGCAAACTTTGACAGCTCTATCATCAGTTCTGTTAAAACTAAATCAACCACCATATTTGTTTTCATTGAATATTTTGAGAGACTCTAAATCACGCAGATGAAGAGAGCAAAAACGCAAAATTTTTGAATGTCTGGGTATTTTTACGCAACTCGAAATTGATCCAATGCGACCTCTGAACGGGGTGGCCGTGGGGGGGCGTATGGTTAGCGTGTGTGCATGTTGTATCATAAGGTCTTTCATTGAGTCAACTGGATTGGTTTCAATTCCCTGGTTGTATGTGACAAAGAGTAGGGTCACCTGTCCAACCTCGTGGGTTTTATCCAGGTTCTCTGGTTTCCTTCCACTGCTCAAAGACCCTTATGTGCAAGCGAATTAATGGAATGACCTAGTTTGTGTCGAGTGGACGTTAAACCACATTTCTCTCTCTCTTAAATCGATGATTATTCAAATTATTTGATGGTATGTTAATTGACTGACAGATAAATTATCTGGTCAATTAATTCAATCAAGACTGGGGGGTTGGATGGCCGAATGGTTAGCACGTGCGCACTGTATCATAAGGCCTGTCATTGAGTCAACTGGCGTGGTTTCGAATCCCTGGTTGTACGTGACATGGAGTAGAGTTGCCTGTCCAACTTCATGGGTTTTTCCGGGTCCTCCGGTTTCCTCCCCCTGCTAAAAACCCCTACGCGCCATCGAATTATTGAAATAGAATTAAACCATATGTTAGTCCTGAAATGACCTAGTCTGTGTCGAGTGGACGTTAAACCCCATTTCTCTCTCTCTCAATCAAGACTGGCAAATATAAACGGGGAGATAACCACATAGTAGATAAGCAAGACAGGGTGTTCACAACTTGGAACACTTAAAATTCCAGGAGTTATTTACCAGATTCCTTGAGTCTCAGTATAGAATTCTATATCATAATGTATTTTCTTACGCTTGAAAAACATTTACGACGACGAACTCAGTAACTTTTGAAGAAAGATTCGATATACCTACGTTCAGTTTTATATCTTAAAATATATAACCAAACCAAAATTTTTAATTTTCTAGGAGTTTCAAGGAGTAATCTTGTTTTTCCAGGTTTTTCCAGTACTGGAAATCACATTTTCATTTTTCCAGGATTTTCAAGGAGTGTGCGAAACTTGCTAGCTCGAGATATACAGTTATTATGAACCATTTAATAGTGTGTAATTAATGTGTAAATGTTTTATTTTAAAAGGTAAAATGTGTTGTTGAAACAAGAGATGCACAACATACTAAAGAACTAGAAGCTGAATTAATTAAACATTATGGTAAAGTAGTGTGGGGACCAGTGTACTTTTGAATATGATAAACTCAATTGTGTGAATCTCAGTGGATATTTTATTTTGTATAATTTTAGATAAATTAAGAACAGGTATCATTATTTGGTTTTGCTATTTATCTTAAATGTCTTTTAAAGATCTCAGACAGCTTTAATAGAACTTCTTCCTGGACACAGGCTCTGGATAAAATCTGGTGTCACATTTGACCATAATTACTGTTTTATAATTGAATTGATTCATATTTCTCTAAAAGTTGTGTGTGTGTGTGTGTGCGCATGATTTTTGTTCCCCGCCTTTTGGAGAAAGCCGGGGAGTAGGATGGTCAAATGGTTAGCAGGTGCGCGCTGTATCATAAGATCTGTCATTGAGTCCACTGGCGTGGTTTCGATTCCTCGGTTGTACGTGACAAGGAGTAGGGAAGCCTGTCCAACCTTGTGAGTTTTCTCTGGTTCCTCCATTCCCACCCACTGCTAAAGATCTCTATGCGCAATTGAATTATTGAAATAAATTTCAACCATGTGTTAGTCCCGAAATGACCTAGTTTGTGTCAAGTGGTCATTAAACTCTCTCTCTCTCTCTCTCTCTCTTTCTCTCTCTGTCTCTCTGAGAAAGCCTGGGAATATGGAAATATTCAAAATAAGTTTGTCTGTCGGCCCAAGAACTGTGCTTCTAGTTTCAAATATAATTTTAAGAAGACAAATCGGGAAGTGACACAAATAAAAGAAAGCCGTTATTGTTACCAACAGAAGCAGAAAGTGGTAACAGCTACAGTGACAATTTTCCACTCACAGATAATTCGTCTGAAACTAGCTATTCATAAAAAGAATTGACTGCCACAAGATTGGAAAAAGGGAGAAATATAAGAAATATTAAAAGACATAAATCTGCCTATTAGACATTAATTAACTTATCCAGACCATAATCAAATCTCGATGTCATCTCTAGTCTGCGATGTTTATTGGATTAGGTTCCGATTTGCTGTTCAATTTCCATTCAAGATTTAATCATGAAATGGATAATCGAGAATATGTTTTTTATCGTATCGACTTTAGTAATGATGATCGCGACTAGGCCAAAAATTCCATTGCTAAAATCTCGGTTTTTCAGCAATTTCCCTTTACATTATCTAGTTTTTAGCTATTATAGTGAGAACTGCCAGCTCTTTATCTAATCTCCCATTATGTATCTTTAAGCGAAAGGTATAGTTTATTCATGTAGTCCCACAAACTAAATTCATACTATTATTTTTTTTAAAAGTTATTGCTGTCTCTCAGTTTGACGTGTGGTCTCATAATAAGACATATGTAAAATGAATGTATATAAACTGATTTACATACAATCGTTTTTGTTTTTACTGTAATAGAATGGCAATCTTTGGCATCTGGTTATTCAAGTAGAAACCAGTAGTATTCTTCTACATGCGATATGTTTAGCCTCGTTCATTGAGCATTCATTGAGTCGGTTCATACAACTGACACTAAAGAATTCTGACACAAATAAGAAGAAATTTCTTTAACAAAACTACTATGTATGAGAACGTCAGGTAGTCACTATATAAAACCTTGTTTTTATCTTGATTTAAATTTGAATCTACAGCCAAAATAGGTTGTTTTTAACAATTGGTGCATATTTCGGTTTTATATTGATATTTCCGATAGTTGTCTCCCCTTAGACCACATATCACATTTCTGTCAATCTCTCTGAATCGTGGATGCTGCTTTAAATTCCGAGTCTACTGTTCGGGTGAAGCTGATTGGCTGATGGTATATATGACCCACAAAATATGTTCGAGATAGACTGGACAACCTGCTCTAAATGACGTCAGGCTTGTTCCTGCGCTATAGTCTATATGCAAGTCAGAAAAGGAGTGACTTAGGAGCGAGTCTGACGTATTAGAGCAGGTCATCCAGTCTATGTTCGAGACTGCTATACAGTCTAAGGTGTTCGAGGCTACTTGGGAGAAAAGAAGCTGCAAAATACATGTAAATCGTAGACTTAGTTTGCGTTGACAAAGGTAAGTTTGACTAGTAAATATTATTCTAGGTAGTTTTTCTGTAGGATAATTAACATTTCCCCATGCTCAAAACTAAGTGAAGTCAATCGAACAAACGAAAGCAGTTGGTTATTATGGTGCACAAGACAAGGAAGGTTTCATTATTGGACACGAGAAGGGGGATGGATGGCCTAATGGTTAGTGCGTGCTGTATCATAAGGCCTGTCATTGAGTCGACTGGCGTGATGACAAGGAGTAGGGTCGCCTGTCCAACCTCGTTGGTTTTCTCCGGGTCCTCCGGTTTCCTCCCACTGCTAAAGACCCCTACGCACAAGCGACTTATTGAAATAAAATTAAACCACATGTTAGTCCCAAAATGACCTGGTTTGTGTTGAGTGGACGTACACTTTAACCCATTTCTCTATGAATTTGCCTGTCCGGCTTATGAGAATTTTTGATCAATTGGAACATTCCCACATGTTAGTCCCGAAATGACCTGGTTTGTGTTGAGTGGACGTACACTTTAACCCCATTTCTCTATGAATTTGCCTGTCCGGCTTATGAGAATTTTTGATCAATTGGAACATTCCCAAACTTGTTTTAGGCCTACACTACAAAGAACTTAGACATGAAATACCACTTTATGGTAGCCTAGCTAATTGAATATCTTAAGGTTAGATAAGAAGAATGGCCTAGATGAATTCTTTTGTGAATTTTCAGTTCTTAACTTCGAAGCTACAAATATTAAATAATGAATTTCTTTTGTGAATTTTCAGTTGTCAGCTGCAATTTATTGGAATATTGGCCAACTTGTGACATATTCGTTTTGGACATATCGTGGCCATACCAAAGGTTAGTTTATTTAGGTCTATATGATGTAGGGTGACCCACCATAAATAAATGTCTCGACAATTACACCACAATATTTGTATATATACCAAGAATTAAATCAGTTTCGCACATTTATAGTCACTAAATAAACCGTCATCTTGTACTTAATAAGCTATGACCATTTGACCATCCATAAATAATAGTATAATACACTGAAAGTTTTGGCCATAACATCTGGGCATTTGTGAGTAAAAAATAGGTTACATGCCCTTCTTTTGAAATTAGTCTCGCTTAACCAGTCAACCGACCATTCTACGTCTGATTGACAAGCCAAGATAATCAAGACTTCCTTTTTTACGAAACATAACAGAAAACTGGAAAAAGAAATTGAAGAAACACACACGTTAGGCAAGTCAACAATTGTTTTAAGAACCTTGTAAAAATAAAATGAAACTACTGCGCATGCTAGTATCATGTTCTTGCCTACGGTAACGGAGTGTTTCAGTGATATTATTTGTACTTAACCAAAAGATGAATCTCCTAACGGTACAGTTAATGATAAAGCAATTTAAAAAATAAAACAAACGTAATTTTTAAAGCTGCTGTAATAACCAAAAAGCTTAATATTGCTGCTATTCAGATTCGTCAACAATAGTTTTTTTACGGCCGTAATAGTTGATAGACGTGTAAATAATTGCACGTGCAGTGGCTATTTAGTCTCATAGACTCTAGCACAGAGTTTTATCATACTGCGTGGTTAGCCATGTGAAGTCCAACTTTCTGTAGGGAAAATGTTCACAGGTCACCCTACTATATGTAGGCCTAACACTTTAAATATAGATTTATTTTGGCACTTTATTTGGATTTATTAACCTCTAATTGACTTCGCTGTAAATGCTTACATGTATGTCGCACTTTGCCCCTTGAGACAATGGTGGGTCTTTATAAATTGTCTCTTCAATTTTGTCTATAAAGTTATATCACACGTACTAAATGAACGTGGATATAGTTATTCGTAAAAAACCCTGTGATGTATTGGTTAAATTGTCAAAATAGTCATCAAATTCTAGCTGTTTATTGACCTATGGTTGATAGAGAAAAGTAGCTAATGTTTCCTATGTTATTTGTGGGAAATAAAGAGTTTTATTCCTTATATGGCGTGGAAATTCATGTCAAGGTTATTGAAGACCTGCAGAAAGTAGGGGGTATAAATTAGGGTGTAGAGGCGAGCTGGATTAGAGCTCACCCAGAAATTCTTACCAGTCATTACCGTTGAGAACGAGGAACCGGAAAAGCCAGTACAACTTAGTAATAAAGTTGTGAAACCATTATTACTGTAGTGTTATTTACGATCACAAACACAACCAATAAAGAAGTCTGTAGTCTGTATCCCATATCCAAGGGCCTGCATAACTATCAAGACCCCATTTTTTAAGCATGTAAACACAAGTTTAAGCAAAGTATGAATTAATTTTTTAATTAGATCAGGTGGCTCTGCGAAAGGTACTTGCATGTCAGCCTGGAGGTCCAGGGTTCAATTCTAGCGAAGATGAGAAAGTGCCAAAGATTCTCCAGCGGCTCATCATTTCCCCTGGACAGTTGTAATTATAACTAAAATATGAACGCGGGCTGCAGTGTTAATGTCTGCACAAATTGCACTCATAACATGGCTATGTGTGTACATCTGTTTTCACTAGGGACCGGGTATCATTCAGATTTGATGAAAAAAGGAAAGAAACTGAGCTTACCATCTATAATCTAATACACATATTCAGTTAATAAATTGCCATGCGGAAAGTGTTAAATACCATCAAGATTCATCAAAAACTGCCAGTTTGTGCTACCGTTTAGTTTGACATCGGTTGTCTAGTTTATGAAACTAAATGGTCATAAACTGGATGACCAATATCAAAACTAAACTAAATGGTCATAAACTAGATGACCGATGTCAAAAACTAAATGGTGTTTCTTAAACTAAACAGTAGCACAAACTGGGCGTTATTTGATGAATCTTGATGGTATTTAATACTTTCTGCATGGCAATCTATTAACTGAATATTTGTATTAGATTATAGTTGGTAAGCTCAGTTTCTTTCCTTTTTTCATCAAATCTGAATGATACCCGGTCCCTAGTGTTTTATTAGTCTGGATGGAGCAGAACAGCAGGACCTTAAACACCATTCCATTTCAATTTATTTTTATTTTACTCAACAGTTAAAGGAGCTAAATCGCTAATATTTGGCACCTAGAAATTGACCTAAATGGGTCGCAACGCATATAATAATGTAATCTGAATGTATATAAACTGATTTACATTCAATTGTTTCCGTTTGACTCTAATTTCAAATCAGTTATCTCCAGCGAAATACGGCATGAGTCTCAACCGAATCGCTATTTCTAGCGTCTGGTTATTCCAGTCTATTCAGTATTGCGCATGCATCACCGTTTCAATGAGTTGTGGAATATGTCAAGCCTCGTTCTTTCTGGTCACTTGTTACACATGACGCTGAAACGCAATATGGTACACGATTCGTGGACCAATGGTAAAATGTTTATTTTATCTTAAATATTGGATATCAGAAGCCTACCTTTTCCCGGTAAGATCACAACGTCAATGTTGATTTGAATTGACAAACAATTCGTGTTTTCAACGTGTAAGACTTTGGATGATATTGAGTTAGAGACTTAGCTACTTTAATATGTAAATTTAGGCAGAGCTGCAAAAATCACATTCCTGACTTGTCCAACTACGACTGCTGTGACAGTGAAACTTGGGTCTGGTTTGACTAACTGCAGATTATATTATAGGCTACCCTCTCTTATATATCTACTTTCATTTTGTTTATTCTTATTAAAGATTTGTTGGATAAAGCTAGATATGGGTGTATGGTGGCTGGGTGAGGTCCATGACCGAGGAAGAGGAAAGATGCAAGGCACCTTTTGGAATAAGGGTAATCAGTAAGTATTTCAAAGAACTAACAAGTTTTCAATTTCAAGATATTTGTGAATTGGGTTTTTTTCAAACGTCATTTATCAGCCCCATTGACAATACTTGATACATAATTGATCAGTGGAAATTCTTACAATATTTGAGTTTCAGCTTGTTTACATCATGCTTAACTTCATAAAACTGGGCTGTTAGGGTTTTTTGGCAGTTGAAACTTTGGTGGGTTGGTGCTGAAAAGCAGGGCATCAGGATTAGTTCATTTGGGCTTCAGGTTTTGGTGCATAGATGTAAATTTATTGCGAGAAAATTAGTGCTTATTAAAATGTGAAGGCCAGACACATGTATTCAAATAGATTCAGCCTGTCATCTCGTTTTAAGCTATAAATTGTTTTTATGTAAAAAGGCTGAAAAAAGGTCATTTTAAATACTTTAACACTCCTGAAAAAGAAGAGTTGATTAGAAATTCGAAAGGTATAGTCCAGGTTGTGTTTAGAAATGTCTCCAGGAAGAGGCAGAATTGTTTAGTTTATTTTCATTTTGTTAAAGCGATTTATGTTGTTGATTCAGGTTTCCATTAGAATGTTTTTGTTTTCATTTCTCCGCTAAATACAATATAATGGGCCTTGAATATTTCAGAATAAGGGCTGGCGCTGTCTGTCGCTCAAGTCACCACTAGTAATAAAAATATGAAAGTGGTGATTAACATTTGAATGTGCCAATTATTTGGGCGATAACGTTTTGGGGTTCTGGTGATTTTGGGTGGGGGGGGGAACAGGTGGAAAAAAATCTTTAAATTCTAATTGTATGATCCTAGTTTGACCATAGTTTTGCGTGTCCATCATATAACTACATGGCGACATACTATAGATCAACTCGATGATAATCTGGACCTGTCAATTGGTAATACTAATCATTAGTTGATTGATAATCACCGATGGTGTATGTACCATTTTTCAATATAAAATTTTGGTGAAAAAAAATTAAAAGCCAGCGCGAGCCCAGTTCAGAATTATTGGTTAGACAGAAGCAATCTAATTTAATTTGCCATTTATTTTATTTTGTTTTATTTTATATTGTATGCCCAGATAATGCATACATAGGCATGTATTGTTGGTTGTCACATGTGTAGGTCTGTCTTCAACATTTGGCTCGTAATCGTAAACAAGGCTTTGTTAGAACCTTATGCGAATGATCCAAAATCGGTATCCCCCTTGTTATACACCCATTCTTTTAAGAGGAATATATAGTATTTTTGTTAAACTATGTTTTTTTAATTCTATTTTAAATATTATATTACAGATTTTGAAAATTTTAAAGGCAATACAGTAAACCTCACATTAGTCGGATTCGTATAAGTCGGATCTTCGCTCAACTCAGAAAAAATCATTTGGACCCTTTGATCCTGCACGTTTTTCTTATTAAATTTCCGTGCGTAAGTCGGATTTCCTAAGTCGGATCTTCGCTCAACACGGATCAAAATGTTTGGTCCATTTGATCTACTTCTGGCTTTTTTCCTTCACCCAATCGGATTGGCAGTATCTTCAGAATTTGACTGTTTCATCCTGATGAAATCGCGGTTAGGTATTCCATGCACAGAGCTCCAAAATTCTTTCCTCTTATCATTTTGACTCAAATCAGCCTATTTGATGCGATGCAATTATAGATTTTTCCCAAAAAATTCGAAACCCGCTGTCTGCTGTACGAGACACTTTCCGGGAAAATTTAGGACATTTTTCAAAGATGGCGACAAAATGGAAGTTATCTACTAGCACCAAAACGAAAGTTATCTACTCGCATATACGAATAAAAGCTTGAAATGTGCCTTTGAATCAATTATTATCCGGCTCTTGCAGTTTACTTCTAATCAAGCTAAGATTGAATTTCAGTCTTTGGCTAACTCATCTTCACTTAACTCGGATAAAATTGGTCAGTCCCCTTAGATCCGACTTACACGAAGTTTACTGTATAAGTAATTATTTCCATCTAAACTTTATGAATTAAAAAGAGAAATAAGACTGAGATTTGATCTTTCTACTTCTATTTCTTTCAGTCAAACTAAAGAGACTCAGAAGGGCCGATTTAGTAAGAAAATTCAAACAAGATATAAAAATTGCAGAAGGTAATTTTACATTGGAAATTTTCAGTTTATTATTTGGGAATCCTGTTTGCATGTCACTTTGATGATGAAATTTATTTCCATTGTTAGAACAATTATAAGTAATGACATAGTTGATATTCTTGGGGAGGGGGGGGGGTGTTAGTATGATCTAATCTTATGCAAATGAGTTATTCCAGAGTATTAGGATTCATAATGATGCAACTGTGTAATAATGTCCTCTTCTGCATTAATAATGTCCTCAAATGCACCAAGGACACCATTGATTTGTTTTTGGATTATATTATGGTATATTAGATTATATTATGGTATATTAGATTATATTATGGTATATTAGATTATATTATGGTATATTAGATTATATTATGGTATATTAGATTATATTATGGTATATTAGATTATATTATGGTATATTAGATTATATTATGGTATATTAGATTATATTATGGTATATTAGATTATATTAGATTATATTATGGTATATTAGATTATATTATGGTATATTAGATTATATTATGGTATGAGATCGATAGTGATATAATTTATACTGGATAATGAATCTTTCAGGGAAACAGGAGAGATATAATGACCTACAGACAGATGACAAAGACATGCAGACAGATGCCTGAAACACTGAGTTAGACACCCACGACACCCAGTCAGATACCAGTGTCACCCACCAGGTATCAATGTCATCAGCCAGACAGATACCAATGTCACCCACCAGTCAGATACCAATGTCATCAGTCAGGTAGATACCAATGTCATCAGTCAGGCAGATACTAGTGTCGTCCACCAGGCAAATACTGATCTCACACACCAGACAGATACTGATACAAATGTCACCCACCAGGTAGATACCAATGTCACTCGATGAAGACTATCTTCCAGCATCTGATGAATCTGATGCTGAATCGGACATATTACCATTTCAAGGTGCATTTCCTGATATGTCGGTACACCTGAACAACAAAAGCGACAGTTCAAAGCAAGGTAAGATACATTGATTATGTGAATGCTTATGCATAGTTGTATTTATTAATTTAAAGATGTTAAATTGGTTTCCATCCCCACCAGTGAACAAAATAACCGGGTGTGCATCGCACTTTGCGACCCATTTCCGATGTTACTGCGAGCCGATGGAAAAATTGATTAGCACAATTTTAGTTGGGAATCTATATAGTTGGGTATCTATAAAGTTGTGAATCATTTTTATCAGATATAGTACCTTTTATTTCAACATTTAGTGCCTCAAAATTCAGTTGGCAATAAGAAATCCTTTCATGGTTACTCTAAAACGTTAACTTATCCTTTTTATTCTACATTTCACAACACAACATTAAGTACAATGTTCACCTTTGTAATTGTTTGAATTTCAGGTATCTCCAATCATTCAGAGGATCACAGTGACTGGTCATATAAAGCTAATAAAAGATATCTTTATAAGGACAGTAAGTCAAATTTCATTTCATCTCAACTCGTTTTTCAGCATTGAAATGAGACCAATTTAAAATACTTTATTCCACTATTCTGATGTCATTTTATTATATTTTGTGCAAACAGAAAATATTCCCCATTCCTAGCAATCTGATTAAAACACAGATCCTATTTCGTTTCTTATTTTTAGTTCAAAATTTAGTTTTACTTGTCTTTACTACACTAGGATCTGGAAGAGTTGTTATCATTGACGTATTCTGGATAATGTGAGGCATTAGCCATTGAAACGGTCTGTTACGGCGAGCTCTTGACCTTTTGATGCCCGGAACTGTGGGTAAACCACTAGAAACATCAACGCTGATCAGTTAATCAATGTCTGACGTCATGGTCAAAATCCTCTTGTTTGACCTCTCACGTGAACTCCCATTATAACTTGTCAGATTATTCAGTCTTGGAACTTCTCGTTTTAAATGGCAATTTAATTTCAGTATATACATGTATTTATAAAAAAAATGTACAACCCGCATGGTCGAACTTTAATTATATATTAGGTAGTCGGTTATCATTTATTTCTTCCATAATCCAGATCTGCTATTTGGGCGGTTTGATGTTGTCATATAAGCAGTTTACAATGTCCAGTGCGTTAAGATTAAACTGACTGACCATAACATTTATTAGCTGAGAAATGTCATCCTTATTTTCGTGATGGCTATATTGTAAATTGTTATTATATAAAATTTTATGTATTATTATATAACATTTTATGTATTGATATTATATAAAATTTTGTGTATTTCAGTTACCGTTTATGGATATAAAAAGATCAAGGAAAAAAGAAATTATTCCAAAATAGATTATTGTTTATTTTGTAAGAACCAGTACAAGTCCAAAATGTCAAAAGATATTAGCAGCTCATAGAGATGAGGATAGAGGAAAAGAAATAATTGATTCACCTATTAAATCAAAAAAGAGAAAATATCTTTTATTAAAAGTACAAAATGAAGGCAACTATCATCACAATATTGAGGTATTTTCATAAGTTCCATTATATGGGTCTTTAGTCAAGTTTTCAATGGAAAAGGAAATGCTAAGGAAAGATATAGAAATGGACTCCTGTCCAATTTATATTATCGGAGCATATCTCGTAAACATTCAAGATATCTTTTTGGATCTGTATACACGTATCATAGTACTTTGCTGATCCAATTCCCTTCATTATTCCTGTCTTTGCAGAATAATAGGAAGTGAAACCTCATTCATTTCATTTTGCTTGTCAAATTTCAAGAGCTGATATGGTTCTATTTGTATCGTCGGTCAATACAGGTTTATTACGATAATGCATTTATCGGCCAATTACCGATATTGAAACCTATTACTGTACCATCACTAGTATAGTCATCTTATCAAATAGTTATGTAATCCAAATATAAATTCTATTTTGCAGGTACTGCAAAAGGGCAGTGTTGAATTAATTGTGAAAAGAAGGCCTAATATGAAACAAAATCAGAATGCTATTGACTATGTGCCTTGTGAATTCTGTTTGTCATTTATTAAAGATGATACTCTTTGGACACATGCAAAAAATTGCTGTATGAGACCCGATGATTGTGATAGAAATTTCTTGAGAAACGGAAGAGCTATGATCCAAAGTTTTTTGTGTAATCGGAAAGATGATACTGAAAGAGCTAAGTTGAAAGAAACCAGCAAAAAACCAGGATTAAAAAAGATTTGTGAAAATGATGAACTGATTAAAAAGTTTGCTTCAAATTTATTAGACAAGTTAGGAACAGAAGAAGAACAGAAAAGAAAAGACAAAGACAATATAATAACAAAAGTTCGAAGTGTTGCAAGATTACTAAAAAAGCTCAACCAAAACAAGTTCCGTTTTGTGCCTTTTAAAACATTCATATGTGGCAAAGAGTTCACAAACGCTGAAAAAGTAAAAGAATTATCTCGTGAAAGTGATTCACCAAATTTGGCCCTTACCTTAGGATATTACTTGAAACAAATATGCCCTTTAAAAATTAGCCTAGCCATTAAAACTGAAAACCCAATCATGAAACAAGAAGCAATGTATTTTAAAGAATTGTACAATGCCCACTGGAATGGTAAAGTGTCGGCTGTTGTTCACAGGCGTCTCCGTTTACGACAGATCAACAAAAGAATAGAGCTACCAAATACTGAAGACCTTGTCAAATTTAAAGATTTCTTAAGCAATGAAATAAAACAGACCAGAAACTTTAAGCCTTCATTGGAAGAGTGGGTGAAATTAGCAGAAATCGTGATGACACGTATTGTGTTATTCAATAAAAGGTGTATTTCAGAGGTAAAGGAACTGAAAATAATAGATTTTAAAAAACGTCTTTCAGGAGACAGTACTAGTGAAGAAATTGATATGCTGGATACCTCAGAAAGAGTTCTTGCTAAAAGGTAAAGAAACAGTTAGGGAAGATTCAATGAATCTGTGGCTAAAGTACTGTCTCTCTAATTTGTGGTTGTTCATTCATTTTTCTAGTCATTTGCATTGACCAAAAACCATGTACACATTGGTGTGCACGTAAAAGAAGCCTCAGCATAATGGGCTGTAGTGCCAGCAATATTTTACATTCCCATTCCATGGCTCTAATTCTGACACTGATTTTGCTGGGGGATCACAGTGGTTAAGTGGGTAAGACGCCGGCTCAGTAGCCTGGAGGTCAGGCCCCGAGTTCACAAAGCATTCTTAGACTTACATGTAAGTTAAGAATTTACTCAAAATTGTTTGCCTTATTTTCACTAAAATATAACTCTGTATAAAACTTTTGTTGTTTTAATGTATCAAATACATCAATAAGAAACCATGAGCAAAGTTTTGTGTTTCTGGATCAAAGATATTTCTTATAAACAGTGATTGAAAGTTGAGTACATTTCCCTCCTATAACACTGTATGGTGTATGCCCGTCTTCAGCCCAGTTTAGGAACAGAACAGAAGGACATTAAACCCCATTTCATTTGCAGATATACTTTCAAAGAAAGCATTCAGATATTTATTATTTTTTTAATTTTCACTTCAGAATGGATTTGATTGAGGTACTGGGAAAAAGTACAAGAGGTCTAAGGAAAGTATTTGTTCTATTGGAGCCAGACATGGTTAGAGGACGTAATTAAAATGTATCGGCTGCATGGTTGGTTGAGATACTTACTGATTCAGTCGACGCATGCGTTGTAGCCCGAAATCCACCTTTTCACTCGATTGTCACTATTTTTGGGATTGAGAGAATTCAATTCCGGAACATTCAATCGAGTACCCCCTTTTACAGCTCCTTGATATGACTGGGGATAAATTGAAACTGGTCGCAGATCACATGGGCCACTCCGTGGCTACACACACTGATATTTACAGAACCATGACTTCAACCTTAGAAAGGACCAAGGTTGCACGAGCCTTGATCGCCCTTGAAAATGGCACCCTCAGTAAATTTCAAGGACGAAGCCTGTCTTCAATTGATCTTGACGGTTAGTTTATTATTGATGAGCTGTGTAATTACCCACCCAAACCCCTCCGTAACTCAAAACTAATTCTGTTAGTTAAAAATTAGATTAAAAATGCTGTATACTGTACTTCTATCCTTACTGTGTACTCCAGAAAATTATACATTTGCTGTGGATTATGCGGACACAGAATGGTTCTTTTTCTTCTGTAACAAGAGAGAGAGAAATGGGGTTTGACACCCAGTCGACACAAACTAGGTCATTTTGGGACTAACACATTGTTCAATTTTATTTCATTGATTCGCTTGTACATAGGGGTATTTAGCAGTGGGAGGAAACCGGAGGACCCGGAGAAAACCCACGAGTTGGATCCTGTAACAAGACAAAATTTTTACTTTACTAAAATGCAATTTATTTATTTTTTATTTTTTTCATTTCAGAAATCCGATTCTCCATCGACAGTGAAGAGTTAAATGACGATCATGGTGATAATGAACTTGAAACCCAGGAAACAAATTTAGAGGAAATAGGTATGCTGTTCCTTTGAAATTATTTTGTAATGACTACTCTTTCAAGAAAATAAACATGTGTATTGCTGTGGTTAAGATTATCTTTAAGATCTATTCAAATTCAGTTGTAGCTTTCTTTTACCAGAATGTAAAAATTTATTTTCCTACAATTACATTATCATTCGGAAACCCTGTATCTAAATTGGAAAAGCAATAATGTCACAATGCTTATGTCCTTTGTTGTGTGTGTAATTAGAAATTGTAATCAGTTCTGAACTGTTTTTTTTTTTTAATCCATTAATTTCTTTATTTCAGATGAAGAATTAACTGTGGAAGAGGATGTTACCAGCACAGCAACAGGTTTGTACATGAATTATATTGTGTTAAAATTTTCGGGGGAGTCACAGTGAATCAGTTAGTTTTCACGTTCGATCCCTGTGAAGGGGAGGATGGAGAGATTGGATGGCCAAATGGCTAGCACATGCGCGCTGTATCATAAGGCCTGTCAATGAGTCAACTGGCGTGGTTTCGATTCCCCGGTTGTACGTGACAAGGAGTAGGGTCGCCTGTCCAACCTCTGGGTCCTCTGGTTTCCTCCCACTTCTAAAGACCCCTACGCACAAGCGAATTAGTGAAATAAAATTAAACCATGTGTTAGCCCTTTTTGAGAGGTGCTAAGTAAGGGTTATCGACTGAGACAGAGGGGTTCAAGTTAGATGAACACCCGAGCTCGTGCAAGGTTGTACACTGAGAACGCGCCAGCGTTCGAAGTGTTCAATTGCGCAAGCTCGGGTGTTCATCTAACTTGATCCCAAGGGTCGAAAGTCGGTAACTGACTTGCACACTGGATTCTTTGTGTAAGAAGTTGAATGAGTCAATGAAAATGGGCGGATACGAGAGAGACTTTGCACGTCATAATATATTGTTCCTGAATATATGTAAACCTGTTTATTTACGATGCATACAAATCAGATCGTTTCAATGCCAATTTTTATTAAGAAATGGTGGATTGGTATATGGATAAATGTATTTTAAGCCTATTTGCTGATAGAATCCTGTTGATTTTCAATAATTTCTGATAATGACTTCCAGATTTATGGCCCTTGATATTTAATGTTTTTAGTACTCAACGTCAGTATAGGGCAGAATTAGAAGCCAATCAGTATAGGGCAGAATTAGAAGCCAATCAAGTATGACAATTACTTAATGGGTTTGTTATTTGTAATTATATTTTAGTGTGTTGTAAATGTTTTCCTTACCGACAAGGGGGGTTCGATGGCCGAATGGTTAGTGCGTGTGCGTTGTATCATAAGGTCTGTCGTTGAGTCAACTGGTGTGGTTTCGATTCCCCGGTTGTACGTGACAAGGTGTAGGGTAGCCTATCCAACCTCGTGGGTTTTCTCCGGGTCCTCCGGTTTCCTCCCACTGCTAAGGACCCCTACGCGCAAGCAAATTTTTGAAATAAAATTGAACCATGTGAGTCCCGAAATGACATAGTTTGTGTCTAGTGGATGTTAAACCCCATTTCTCTCTCCTTACGGGCAAAAAAAATAAATATGTGACACCCCTTTTTGACTGCACGGACGACTTAGCTGCTGTAGGCGTATGTTTCGTTGTCTGGCAATCTATCTTTAAAATCCACAACAGGCCAATGAATAATGTAATATCAATTTGGTGTGAATGGGGTATGCTGCATTGACTGGAATACGTTTAACATTCACGAATTGTCAGCCACAGAACAAACTAACCATGTGCGAAAAAAATAGCATGTGCGATGATGTAGGATTATTTTACAAGATTACAATTATCTAAAACATGACCAAACAGAAATTTATCCCAGTTCGCTCGGTTTTGTGTATTTGTTCCTTATACTAATGGATGCGTTTTCTAGCTGATGATACTATTTCACAATCTACATTGTAAAAATATTTATTTATTGTTTTAACTACATGTATTTATCTTTTTTAATTAACACGGTGTTTCTTGTTATTTCTAATACAGTGCACGCATATCGGACGGTAACTTCCTGAATTATGGCCCCTGATTGTACGTAAAAACGCGTTTTTTGGCTTGTGGACCCTATAGAGGTCATAATTTTTATTCGATTTAAAAAACCGTATTATTATATCACCGTTTAACCCTAAGGACGGTTGAGTTCGAATTTCGTGAAAATCGGCCCAAAACTGACAGACAAAATGGCCGCCGTTCGTTCTCAAATAGCATATAGAGGTCCCAATTTTTATCCGATTTTGTTGAAACTTGAAATGTAAGTTTATAACACAAAGATCTTGGTTCCTTTCGATATTCGCGCATATCGGACCGTAACTTCATGAATTATGGCCCCTGATTGTACGCAAAAGCGCGTTTTTTTGCTTTTTATCCGATTTAAAAAACTGTGTTAATATATCACAGTTACACCATAAGGACAGCTGATTTCGAATTTCGTGAAAATCGGCCCAAAACTGACAGACAAAATGGCCGTCGTTCGTTCTCAAATAGCTTAAAAATATGGTATATCAAGGTTGTGGACCCTATAGAGGTCACAATTTTTATCCGATTTTGTTGAAACTTGACATGTAAGTTTATAACCCACAGATCTCGGTTCCTTTCGATATTCGCGCATATCGGACCGTAACTTCCTGAATTGTGGCCCCTGATTGTACGAAAAATCACGTTTTTAGCTTGTGGACCCTATGCTATAGAGGTCATAATTATTATCCGATTTAAAAAATCATATTATTATATCACCGTTACACCCTAAGGACGACTGAGTTCGAATTTCGTGAAAATCGACCAAAAACTGACAGATAAAATGGCCGCCCTTCGCTCTCAAATAGCGTAAAAATATGGTATATCAGAGGTTACAATTTTTATCCGATTTTGTTGAAACTTGAAATATAAGTTTATAACCCAAAGATCTTGGTTCCTTTCGATATTCGCGCATATCGGACCGTAACTTACTGAATTATGGCCCCTGATTGTACGAAAAATCAAGTTTTTAGCTTGTGGACCCTATAGAGGTCATAATTTTTATCCGATTTAAAAAAACGTATTATTATATCACCGTTACACCCTAAGGACGACTGAGTCCGAATTTCGTGGAAATCGGCCCAAAACTGACAGACAAAATGGCCGCCCCTCGTTCTCAAATTGCATAAAAATATGGTATATCAAGGTTGTGGACCCTATAGAGGTCACAATTTTTATCCGATTTTGTTGAAACTTGAAATGTAAGTTTATAACTCAAAGATCTTGGTTCCTTTCGATATTTGCGCATATCGAATTGTAATTTCCTGAATTATGGCCCTTGATTGTAGGAAAAATCACTTTCGTTTTAGCTTGTTTTCTATCCATCTCTCGAAAATGTGGGCGTATCCTGCCTGGCAGCCGCTGGTTATAATAAAGATCTTGGTTCCTTTTGATAATCACACATATCTGAACGTAATTTCCTGGATTAAGGCCCCTGATTGGTAGAAAAATCGAATTTTTAGCTTGTGGATTCTCTAGATGGTCACAATTTTTTTTCCGATTTTAAAAACCGTTTAGATATATCACCATTCCACCATAATGCAGGATGAATTGTAGTTTTGGGAAAATCCAAATGAATCTGCCCAACAAAATGGCCGCTCTTTCTACGCAAATTGTGTATAAGTATGTAATACAAAGGTTATGGACCCTCTAGAGGTCACAATTTTTATGCAATTTTAATGAAACTTAAAAATATATCTTTATATAGCTGCTGGTTAAAGATTAATTTTGTTTTGTATTTTAATTTCTAAATAAAATGATTTGACAGATTCTAACCCATCTATTTAGTTTCCTTGTGGGTGGTTGAATGTACTCATTGGTGTGCACATAAAAAATACCCCAACAGTTTGAATTCAATATGAGTAGACTGTAGTGCTGCTGTCTGGTCAAAATTCACTCATAGCACACTGGTGTAGAACTGTCTTCATTAGCCTATTTCATTTCCCAACCTTGCATGTGACAAGGCGAGTTTCCATAAGGGTTTTATAAGGTGCCCTGATTTCCTCCTGCTGCTAAGACACCTACCTCTACGCAATTATTGAAAGGACTCAACAAATTTGTTTTTTTAATTTTCAAACAAAATGAATTTTATCGGTCATTCTGGTTCAGATTCTTACACCTCTAATGGTTTCCAGGTGGGTGATTGAATGGTTTTAAGGTGTGCGCTTTACATCATAAGGTCTGTAATTGAGTCAGGGGGGCACGGTGGCTAAGTGGGTAAGACGCTGGCTCGCTAGCCTGGAGGTCTGGTGTAAGATCCCTGCATTGGCCTAGAAAGTTCATCCAGATTTTCCGCTGTGGTTCTCCCCTTGTCAGTGATGCTGTCTAGTCATTTGGATGAGACAAAAAACTGAGGTCCCATGTACACATTGGCATGCACGTAAAAGATCCCTTGACAGTTGGAATTCGATACAAGAGTAGGCCGTAGTGCCGCTGTCCAGGCAAAATTTCCCTCGTAGCACACTGTATGGCGTATTCCCATCTTCATTAGTCTAGTTTGGAGCAAAACAGTCGGATATTAAACCCTATTTCATTTCTGTAATTGCTTCGATTCGAAACTTGCACATGACAATGAGAAGATTTGCCTGTCCAAGCTCTTGAGAGATATAAAGTCCCCTGGTTTCCTCCCACAGCTAAAAGAACCCTTACACTATAGGTTAGTTATGAAATGACCTAGTTTTGGTGAAGTGGGTGTTAAACTATGGAAATTGTGGATTTTCTTTGTATTTTCCATTTGAATTCTAGTCAGATCCATGGCAATGCATTATTTCTGTAGGATTGTGGGTTATGTGTTTTTAGTAAAAAAAAACCTCTCAATTCGGATGAATAACAATTTGGGGGCCTACATATATATCGGGTACCCCACCACTGAAAAAGTAAATAATACAAAAAATAATACAATTAAATAATACAAAAAATAATACAATTAAATAATACAAAAAATAATACAATTAACTATGAACACTGCATTGCCTGGTAACTGTTAGATATACGGTTTGATGAGCTCTATGAAGCAGAATTTGTATACCCCATATATAATTATAATTCTGTTATTTTACAAACAAAATTATAGTTAAATTCATCCACATATACTGCAAAGTGGTTTCCGGATACTTTCTGACCTACCTGTGATTATGAAAAAGGAACGCTCAAGACTTGCTAATATAGCCTATAAATTGAGAAAAGAAAACTACTTGAAAACACGAATCAGAGATAGTGGAACACAAATGATTTTAGAAACTAGGAAAACAAAAGAAGATAGATGGACGATACATAAAACAGCCTCAAACAAAAACTCTTCTACCTAGAATAAAATTTGATACTTGTGTGAA